GAAATATGAGTGATTGAGTTCATTTTACTCAGCAAACGAAATGAAGTACGTAGCGTCTATTTTTTTTTTAAATAGTATGCACATGTGAATGAGTTTATTTTATTTTAACAGTGTTTCATATTTTCAAAGTACAATATTTTAAATTATCAATAATGGGAAATGAGTTTCAAACGAAACCACATCTTATGACATTTTTGTAAATTACTCTTCTTTTTTTTATTAAAAATAAAAATATATTAATTGCAACATTCAATTCTTGTACAATTATAATATCTTATGATTTTCTACTTATTCATTTGCGTAAACCTAAACTCTAATAATAATTGTTGTAAACACTGAACGAACATACGAACGAGCGAATGACCGATCAAGCGAACGGAAAGAATTTTCACATGAAGAAACGAACAAATTTATACTCTATGAAGGAACATTTGTAGCCAACACTACTTGTTGATAAATGATTGAATAAAAGTTTCATTTCTCATGCGATTTCTATTCGGTGCATCAAATTGAACCATAATAGTGAGATATGTTGCCACAGAACCTGTGCAAGAAATATAGAAAAATTCAATATATGAAAAAACGTCACACAACTAAAAAGGCTAACACAATACAATACCTATCATTGTGTACAACAATGTCCAATCGAAATTGAATAGTCCACAGGTTGCAACGGGGCATCTGCTTTGAATCTGCTGCGAAACTTGACCCAGCTATTCATAAAACCAAAATGATATGTGAGAATACTCAAGTGTATTTGTTTTCGTATAACAATTAATTCGTACCGACAAAACGATATCTGAGTCATTACATCTATTAATGATATTGTGAACTATTTCCGATGTCTTTTTACCCTGTCGAATAGAGAAGTCGCTCTACATTTTATCTTTAAATCATTTCGAAATTCGTATCGATACTTACCTTGGATTTTATCAAACTGCCAGCGTAAATGATCATGAAAGCATAGATTAGGTAGAACAATTGCCAAGAAAAGTAAATACATGTCACTTTTTTGAAGTACTCGTTCGGGTCGACAATATAACGGTAGAACGTGTAGAACGACAGAACCGAAAATAAAAACGTCGCTCCAATATTGAACATGGCCTGGAAGATATATTTCGATTTCCATTTATAATAATGAAAACAAAAAGCAATTCTTTCGGAATACCTGCAACGAGTAACATTTGTTCAGCTCTTCCATTATTCCCGTGAGTAGCGCATGCATTCTGCCCGTAAACTTAATGAACGCAATGGATTCTTGCTTGCGAAAATGTATCGGCATCGCATGTTTGCTCAAAAACTCATCACTATTTCAATTAAAAAAATAGTTGATGAAAACGAAATTAAATATTAAAATAATGCAATTGAGAAAAAAAAACAACCTCAACAAAGAGTTTAACGAATCGAATCTTCGGTGGAGGCAGCAAATCATAATTACGTATGTTGTCACAACTGTTGCTGCGACAAAATGTTGGAATAAATAAGACACGAAGAAAAATATAATTTGGATGGTTTTGAGTTCATTTTCATCATGTTTGTAGACACTGTTTGTTGATATTGCCAAAAGTAGGAACACAGCTATTGTCGCTAGGTTCCAGCACACGAACCGACGATATTTCTTTCGGTAATCAAAACGAACGCCCATGACTTCCGCATCAAAAAATGTAAATCTTTTTATGATATCAATCAATCTAAATCGATTAAACATATCGAATACAATTATGACAGATCCGTAGACTAGACCAACAATTGTAAAGGAATATCCGACAAGAATTAAAAGAGGTGATTCTTTTGGATGGCCGAGGCCGTATGCTTTATAAAGTTCAATACTTGTATAGTCAAACCACGTCAATAATAAATATAGGCACACTGAAATCATGAACCACAGAACATCGAAAACAGTGACACGAGCCGCTTGAACATTGCCATTCGTATCAAACACTATTGTAAATGGAAAAAGCCCAAAGATACGCGAAAAGTAATAAATTGATTTCAGCGAATAAGCAAAATTACGCCTTTTTGGTGATATATTCTTTTTTAAAGATTGATCTGATTCGGCTAAATGTGCCGTTTTCACTGTAGATATTCCAACACCATTATTTCGGCCAAATTCCATTTTTAAAATGTAAAAAACTAACTCAGACACAAATATTTTCAAATCTACTGTCCCAAAGACATAAAAGTTGACTGATATTACACTAATGGTTAAGGTGCATGATAATCTTCAATTTCATCCAACGTTGTAAGCGCTCAATTCCATGTTTGATTAGCATCTATTACCATAATACCATGTAATTTGTTTATGAAAAGAATTAATGAGCTATCAATCTAACTATTGCGTCACCTAAGTGTGAACGTTTTAATTTTAATAAAACTGTATTTCAGTTATATGAAACATGAACAATGAACAATGAACAATAGTTATAACATAATATCAATAACTTATTTCAGTGCATCTGGGCATTTATTTTATTAGTTAATATGAAAATCGATAAATTGGAGTATATTTTTTTGAAAAACATAGAAATATGAGTGAGTTCATTTCACTTAACGGTGTTTACACATTTTCGAAATACAATAAGGTGAATTAAAACGTGTCACAAACTTTTATTCCAGACAATTTTTTGTTGTAACATCATTAAGAAAGAATGCTCGTAAGTGAATAATCGTAATTATTTACTTCCTGTCAAACTGTACCAAAATAGTGAGGTAAGTTGCCGTCGCTCCTATTAACTGAGGAAAAATTAGCAAGAAGAAAAATTCACAAATAAATTCCACTTGAATTGTGAACAATTCTTTTACCATGAACAAGAGAGTCCAATCAAAAACGAACAGCCCACATGTTGCTCCCTATGATTAAATAAAAAAAAATTGGAAGTAATCTCATTCCTCTCTGTTTGAAAGAGTTTTATCTTTATATTTATACCGGACTATGATGCATTATCTGCTGACTAACATGGGATAGCTGATGAAGGAAAAGAAATATTATGACAATAATCAGTGTATTAGCATATTTTATATATATATTTGCACATATTTTTCGTCAATCAAAAAAATTAGTTCCTACCGACAAAACGATATCAGTATCATTGCATCTATTAAGAATGTTATGAAGAAGCTTCGAGGTTTTTTTACCCTATCAAAAATGGTACTGCTTTAGTTAAATGTTTTCAAAGTTTTAAAATGATCTACGAAAACCAAATGTTACGACAAAAAAACCTTGAGCGATACTGTTGATCCGGCATAAATCAGCATTATTGCATAGAAAAAATAGAAGATTTGCCAATGAAAATGACTATATGAAAGATCTCTATACAATTTACTTTGATGAAGAATAAATTGGTAGAAGGTGTAAAATGTAAAGACGGAGAATATAAACGTGTTTGCAATATTGAACATTCCCTAATTAAAAGAATTATAATTAGAATCGTTTAAATGAGTTATGTGTTTTAATTTCAAACCTGTAAGGAATAGCAACGATTAAGTTGTTCCATGATAGTGGCCAACGATTCATGCAAATGTCCAATAAGCTTTATGAATGTCATATACTCTTGCTTATGCAAGCTAAACGAATCTGAATTTTTATCCAAGAACTTATTACTGCACAAATCGAAAGGAAATATTAGTGAGTAAAAATACATTTTTACATTCAATTACCTTAATAAAGAATTCACAATATCGATTCTTCGAGAAACTCCGAGCATCATGATAATATACGTTGTTAACACCGTTGCTGATACAAAATGTTGGAATAAATAACTGAAGAAGTAAATCGTAACTTTAAACGATAGGTAATTTCTGTTCGTTCTATTTGCATAATTGCATAGTGTATAAGTGGACAGAATTAAAGTCACCACCGTAGCTACTGAATACCATACGATCATGTGTCTACGTTTCTTTTGATAATGTAAAGTTTTCGCTCCCAGTTTCATTACCTAAAAAGTTCGTCACAAATTTATTTGAATAAAAAATCAAACACATTTTACTCACTTCTTTATCAAAATTGATCATATTTTTCATCAAGTCAATGAATGCGAAGCGGTTATACATATCCAATGAAATTATAATGGCACCATAAATCAAGCCAAAGATTAAAAGTGCATAGTCTCCCAGAACCAAAATGTATGATTCGCCTGGATATTGAGGATGATGCATGTTCACGTAGCAATAAAATGCCATCAACAGATACAGACATATCGAAATAAAAAACCAAAGAAAATTAAGCAGAGTGACGCGGGCCTCTTGAACATTGCCATTCGTGTCATAGACCACTGTGAATGGAAAAAGGCCAAAAGCACGCGAAAAATAATAAATTGGTCGAAAACTGTGGAAAAAGCTAGAGTTATTTGATTTTGCATCATTGTTAATCGATACAGGAGAAGTTTCCACTTTCACTGGAGAAACGGAAACCTTATTTTTTTCGAAAAACGTTATCATTTTCACAAAACATAAAATTTCCGTTTTGTTCCACGAAAGCGCTGATGTTGACTGTCAGGGGAATATACTTTATAACACATTACCTGTGAATAGAACCGATGATTGTTTCTATTCAAATCAGACATGCGCACGCTCAAAATTCTCAGATGGATTATTTCATCATTTATTGTAACGCATATTGATTGGATATATATTCATTAGGGAGAAAATGGCTAATAATATTGAAAATTGGTAGTTATCATTTTAGATCAGAAAATGGTATTTGATGATCATTGCTTAGCGAGGTTGAATTCAAGAAACCCATGATTAAATTTATCCGATAGTTTTATTTTTTGTATTGCAGTACAAAATTAACGTAATATTAATACTCTCATCATGATTAGTTCCGTACCTATATCTTGATGTACTGACATAGACCATGTCGATGTCCATTGTCCATCACAGATAATACCGGTAACATAATTTTTTTTTCCACTGTAAATATGTTCAAATAACGCAACGGTAACGTTGAAAGCTCTTCTGAATCAAACTTCACCGAATAAATAGAAGCCATTTAAGCCGAATTCATTTTCCAATTCTTTATTTTTGATGGTTGATGATAGTGACTAATGAACTCTTTTTCACAAATTGGTTGACATAAAAAAGTATCCAAACTGTGACCGTCTCTATTTTTTCTTTGGAATGTATTTCAATAAATTTATTTTGTTCGAATGAAATAATTGCAACTATTTATAAATACGAATTCTAATACAAAATATGCGATATTTACATAAAAAATTCTAAATATTTTCAACAATATTCAGTTTTTTTCCCCATCCAATTTCGTATGCATGTGTATGAAATACAGTATAAGCGATAATGTCTAATGAACAATTTCGATTGATGTGACTACAATGTACATATCAAATGGATTTTTCGCCATTTAATTCCAGATTTCCTGTGCACAAATTCTTCATCGATAGTTCCGTCAAAATCTCGACAAACGTAACGATATTCGTGTTTTTGGCAATTTGATTGAGAACAAAGTAATTGCCCAGATGTCCTTTATCGGTTGCTTGCATGATTTGTTTACGCGAGACGGACATCAATGAACGTCGTCGAAGAATTTCAATGCGAATGTTTCGGCTGTAGTAGACGACCGCCCAGTAAATGAGATTTCCGAACGATACAATCAACTGGCAAATGTACCACATCCAAATGATGACAAAAATTTTCTGGTTCAACACATTCAGCGGCAATAAACAGAGTGCATCGAAGATTTGGGGTGATCCAGACGGACCATACGCTTTGTATTCGCATTTGGCCGTTCGTGGAAACACTAAGTCACTGTACATTATCCATTCCGGAACATTTCCTGGATTCAATTAAATTGATCAGAGTTAAATTTTAATGCGATCTCAACAAATGTGTTTCAATGAGGAGAAAAAAAAGAGCATGAAATTAAACGTGAATAAGGTTCAAAACGCCACATAATTACCCGTAATCAATGATGCAGTAGCACTAGAATATGTCAACCAAAATCCAGGAATCACCATGTTCAACACCAAAATGTTCAATGCCTAGTGGTAATGAGAGAATAGAAAATGAAAATGTAACATTTGACAATCGATAAAAATGAAATCTACACTTACAATGAGAATAACGCTAAGGATTTTGCAGCCAATATACTGGGTAGTGTACAGCATGTGCGCACGGCCCGCGAATTTGCCACTGAAGTAATTGATAACATCACTCTTTTTTTCATTCCAATTGGTTCGGCCGAACGATGCATCTGTGGAAAGAACGTCAGAAAAAACGCGTCAATTAAAAGTATGGACGATTTTCATCACCAAAGCAATGATCTGGTGAACCAATGTTTCGAAAAATCAGCTTTTGCATAAAATCCAATTTGAATGTATAATCGAAATCCCTTTTACCTAGATTATCGCATAGTTTGTGAAGCAGTCCGCATTCCGCCACTTTCCAAACGTAAGCTGGGACGTATGAAATTACTGCTTGAACTAAAAATTGATAAAAAAAACGATTGATTTCGATAAATGTGGTAAATTGAGTGAGGTGTTGACACGGTAGGATAGTTCATAATACTGTACCGAGGAGCAAAAGTGGGACCCATTGATAGTATCGCTGGTGGATTTTGTTCTCTTCACTGTGATCAAAACAACTGAGAATGTTATCTGAAGAATGCAGGAAAGAAAATCATAAGCATTGAATAACGGTATCAGCACATGGCCGCTCATGCTAAATGACACATTGGGAATTTATGTTTGGATACTGATAAGCATTTTTTCGCCAACATTTCTTTTTTCATTGGCGAATATTTTTGCTTACGATATACGATTTTTGAATTCGCATGTCAGCTTCAGATGGAAAAATCAAAACCATTGACCTAACCTATCTCACAAACAACCATAGTTTTCAACCACTCAAAAGCCACGTGGTGGTTTTTCAAATGACGTCAATTGCCGGCCATTTACCTTTACTATGATCCTTGCAGATGTATGTTCCAATGCTCCAGCAGTAATTGTCCATAATTGGTTTGCGCTTGCTCTCGCTGTCGATGTAGCAGTCGATTGATGCACGAAGCAAATCCATTGCCGTGAGTAAAATCGAAAACAGAACTAGCAGTGCCGTTGTGAATTTGGTGTTGAGCAAAAATATGGTATCAGACGTTGTGAAATGTTTCACATTAAATAATTTGCCAATGGGCTCAACAATTTTAAACATTTTGATTGATTTTCAATTTTTCTTTTCAACCAGACAAAAATCGATGTGTTTTTGCAACAAATTTAACACGAGAAATGAAAATTACAACCGAAATAAAACAATACAACTTGACACGTGCAACGCCGTCTCTAGAATGATACGTTGTGAATGGTGCAATAGTGTTTACCTCGTTCGCAACCGATATCACGCCATTCGCACCGGTGATGATGTTCTGTTTGCTTTGGTATAGTTGTTGTTGTCTTTTGTCAAAATCTCTTTTCATCGCTTTCGCATCATTTGAAATACAATGCATACAACTGTCACAATTGCTACGCACATCCATTTTACAATCTACCGATATTTTATTCATAGTTTCGATTTGATTTGCTAATGACAATAATATTTTAATACGCATTTTGATTAACTGATATGAATAACATTCCACAATGAATTATCTCTTCTACTAAATGAATTCAATGATGATAATTAGATTTGCAGTTTTTTTCTACGGATTTTGCACGCTGAAGCACATGACGTGCAATCGCATGTCTTGCCGTATTTTAGCTAAGACACGCATAACATGTTTTTCGCCCTCATCAGAAAGTTGCGGAATTGCCTCGAGTGCTTCGCCAAAGAATGACTTTGCCGTGGAATTGCTGTATAATTTCAATATGTCTCTCAGAAATCGAATATCAATATTGGCTTGCAATGCTCCATTGGCGCTGAAACGTTGCACACAAGTCAGCAGACGTGCCAATTCCTCGGCCACCGTTTGGATGATTGGCTCGAGTATAGCTCTCAGTAGTAACGGTGAAATTGCAAATATCTCCGAATAAACGCCGACCTTTTGAGAAAATGGGAAAAATAAATTTTGGTAAAAAAAAATCGTTGTTCAAATCACAATGGGTTTTAATGCTACATACTCCCAAACTTACAAGATTATCGGCACATTCGTGTGCATATGGACGTAGTCCTTCAGCACTGCTGACCAAATCCCATTGGAACTTTCCGATGTACATAGACGGTTCGATGGTGCCAACAAGCGGATCGCTCTTGTGTTCCACAAACGTTTCAACGATACTGCTGACCAGTTTATTGACATTCATCCGCCCATCCTCGAACACCATTTTCGAAATCGGGTAGCCGTTCTTCGTGAGAACCGTATTCAAATGTGCGAAAAACTTTTTGTTGCAATACAAACAATTGGCCAAGCAACACAGTAGCTTCTGATCCCATGAGACGATTTGACGCCAACTTTTGTCATCGCCATGTGGTTGTATCGATGAATTTGCTGATGCTGCAAAACCGATCAATTGGCATACCAACGGTGCTGGCTGAGTCGTATCACATTTTTGGAAAGCCAATGTTTCGATCACCTCACAAAATGTGGTCAACAGCTCTCGTGTGCGTTGTGAAATATGCGGTAAACCTTCCGATTGATCATCGAGTAGTGCTGTCTCACGGATTTCTGGTTTTAGACATGCGTTTAATCCTTCTTCCAAATGTTCTACAACAATTTCTTCAAACATATTCGGTAAATTGGTTGCGCCCGGAAAATCGGGCACTGAACCTAAACTCCATGTCTCTTTTTCGTCCAAACACTTCACTTTATCGATGGCCTTCTTGAAAATGGTCGACAAACAGAATAATCGAATCTGATTGATCAATTTTTGGATGATATCCAACACTTCGCTGGGCAAATCAACTCGAATCAGCGTTGCATATGCAATGCGAACATATCGAAGACACTGTGAAATCCATGGAATGAACTGAATTATGGTGGAGTTACTGGTTGCCGGCCATGATGGTGTAGTTCCCGTATTGTAGTTTCGTTGACCTGATGCTGAGAGGATTGCATTCCGTAAATACGAACAGAATGTTTCGATCGATGTAATGATAATGCGTTTGAAAACACCCGGTTTCGGTTCGCTCAATCCGCGTAGCTCGCCAGTGAAATAAGCCTGCCCTAAGCGCCATAAGTCTGGCAATTGACTTGCGGCTACTTCACAAACTTCTTCACAGAATAGCACACGAGGCGGTGCATCGTTACCATCGCGACCTTTGGCCGGTGGTTGATTGTTTTCCCTTGGCGCATGCTGATCGAATATGGTTTTTAGAGTTTCATCCAAATATTTAGCGCGTGCTTTGATGGCATCCCATGCGGCATCCGTTTCTGGAATCTCTTCCGCAATTTCCAAACCATTTTGTTGCATCTCCAAACTGGTTAAGGCCTTTACTAGCTTCTTTTGCTGGTCCACACTCTGTGGCATCAAACAAATTTGCTGATGTAGCTCTTTTCGAATTCCAACAATTCGACGGTCTACTTCTTCTAACACCTTACGAAAAATCTACGAATGGAATAGAATTTTTGGGCTATTTATCTCAATTGGCCAATGCTTTATGATGCAAACATTTACCGGCACATCCGTTTTGCCAAATAGATTCTTCGCTCGTGCATAATCGTTTATGACAATATCGTACTCCTTTCGCTTGGCACTTTGCTCCACCGATTTTGGCAGGCAGAATAAAAATCTAAAAAATGAAATAAGAAAATCACAATTTTAAAGAAATAACCGAATTAGTTTTATCAATCGAAATAAACGAAACATTTTTTCAACAATTACTTGTGTCGCGATAAGGCAAAAAGTGCTGCTCTCATTGTATCGGCCTTTTCCCGTCGGTACAACACATCCGTAAATAGACTATTCGATTCAATGATTGACTCTTTGATTGCCTTCTCCAATTTGCAAATGGGTTCAGCCGTCTCGGTCATATCTTCTTCGTATTTATCTCGAAGCATCATCAGTGTGTCCAATTGATCCATGACCGCACCAGCATTTGCTTTGAGAAAAGACAATTGACCATCACGTTGACTTTCGACTTTGCGCCGCAGATACGACAGTCCCGCTTTTAAATCATCAAATGACGTCGTATTGTGGTGTTCCAATAGAAACCAGCCAGGTGAAAAGTTTTCTTGTGACAAATCACCCGATTGCTCTGGGAAAATATCTCTCAAATCTTCAGTGAGTTTTTTGACGTTTCCTTCAATCGACAATCCCAGTGGATCTTCTTGGGTGTATTTTGTAGGTGCCAGAGATCGTCTGCCCCATGCCAACGATTGCATCGGTGATTCTTCGATCCAAACGGCTGATTCTTTGAGCGGCCCAATCGTTTCATGATACGCACGAAATTGAACGGTTGAAGAACCAATGCCACCGGACCTTGTTGTAACTATAATATCGCCCTTGCCTTTGCTCGATCCAGTTCGTGCAATAATCTTATTCGGTGATTTCCATTCGGCCGATAACAAACAATCCGAATCACATATCGTCAAACCTGTTGAAAAGCAATAAGTTTATTGAGTTGAAATCGTGCAAAAGACGAAATATTAGGTGATAGATAGCAAAACACCTACCGATTAGATCTTCAGCTCGATTGCCAAGAAACTCTCCTCGAATCGTTATTTTGGTGCCGGGTGGACCTTCCTTCGGCGACAGCCCCGTTACCACAGGTTGTCTTCTTGTCATTTATACACTCAGTTTATAGAACTAATCCACCAAAAAAACTCGCACAGAAAATACAAATTTCACTACAACAAAACACTAATCATTTAGAAAAGTGGGTAGCGATGAGCTGTCAGTTTGTTTTCTTTGCAAGAAACTGTCAAACAAGTGTCTGTGCACTTTATAAGGTTACCAAATTAACAGTGTATCAAAATGAAATGTCAAAGTCTACACATGAATGAAAAAAAAAAATCCGGTAGAAAATTATTTCAATTGCAATGACTGGAAATACAATTGAACATCACTCAGTTATTGCCCAATTCACTTATTCGTCGTCTTTGGTTTCTGTTACAAGTTCCAATTGAAGATTAATCAACTCTCGTAGCTCTTCTGTATATGTAAGTGGAGCGGTTTTTGTCGTGCGATACTTCACTCTTCGTCGCTTCAAATCTCTTCGCAATTTATTCAAATCGGTAAAATTATTTGAATTCGAGCGTTTTGCATCGATTTTCTGTCCGATATTCACTACAGTTTCAAGATCAATTGATTTCGTTGATTGTGCAACGACGGTGTTCTGTGTCCTTTCATTCGAAGTTGAACCGACCAATTCACACTTTTCAGCTACGGCTTGCTCTTTATACTGTGGCAACTTGTCTTTTGTCCAGCCAAATTCTTGAAGCAATCGATTCACTTGATTTTCATATGTTTGAACTGTTTTTCGAATTACTTCCAGCTGTTCTAATCTCTCGTCTACGCCAGACATCCTCACTTACTCGTTGATCCAATCATCACAACTGACGCAATTTTTTTTATAAACAATGGATAATTTGACAGTTTTCGAGAATGTCGAGAGTATGACATATATGATGTGACATCAGTTCTCCAGTTGTTTGCGTTGAAGTGTCAAATCGTATGTGAGGTTTGTATATACAGTATTTAGGTGACGATGAAAAATGGATGACGTTGCGTCCGCACATAGTGAAAATTTAAATTTAAGAAAAATCCAACAAAAACTTTTGCAATGGGAGAAAAAAGAGTGCTCCTTATCGCATCTAACGCAGTGTCAAATTGATGCAATCGATCAATTGAATGAGTGTTTGCAGCAAAAGACCGCCAAAACATCTTCAGATCTGGTGAGTGATGATGCATCGACAACAGTTCGTTCGAATTTTTCGTGGTTTTTCATTTTGATTTATTCAATCTTAGCAGTCGCTGCAGAGTGGTGATTCAAGTGCAAGAGAAGGGAATTTTACAAAAGATGGCAAATTTAACATTCCATCGAATACAATCGATTCAACGCAGGATTTTTTCAATTGGTACAACGATGTCGAATCACAATTGTACAGCGGCAACGATAATGTGTACCGACAGTACTATGATCAATTGTCCAGCCGAAGAGATGAATGTGATAATTTGTTGGCTAAAATCAATTCCGCATTAGATTCACTCGATGAACTTAAGACCGAATACAATTTTGTGTCGAATAAGACGTGGTCATTGAACTCTGGCAGTGAGAAGCTGATTGCTGAACAAAACAAACTGATTGGCATTACCGATGAAATCAAACGGCGCCTACACTACTTCACCCAAGCAGAGAATCTTTTGCAAATTCTACAAAGTTCAACGATTTCAGTGTCTAGCGAAATATTCGCCCAAACATTGACGCGAGTTGATGAATGTATTGCGTATATCAAAGTCAATGTGAGTGAAATGATTTGAAAGAGAAACAATTTGGTTGTGAATTTTTCATAAAATTTTACCTTTTTTGTCGACTTTATAGAGCAAATTCAAGGATTCAGCCACCTACTTAGCAAAACACAATCAATGTTTAGCCAAAGCAGTGCTTCTCATAAAGAATTATCTAAATCATATGTTCACCAACACAGCTGAACAAATATCGAACATGAAAGATGCACCGAAAAGTGGTGAGTTCTAGTCCATTTCATGTCTTCTCTTCCAATTCCAACATTTGAAATCAATAACTGACTACGGGAAAACGTCTAAATTTCAGGAGATCAATCGTCTGATACGGCTTTCGCAATGTACTATGGAAAATTCCAAGGTATCGCTCCAAAAGCATGCCAAATCATTACACTTGTTGAGAGTCGCATTGAAAAAAATGTGGAATACGAATTGCTTTTGATTGAAATCCATAAAATGTATTTGACGCAACGAGCGGGAGTAAGTTTGATCGATTTGTACAGACAACGTATATAGCTCAAATCACCACTAAACTTTTACTTATGTAAATCTAATTTAGATCATGAGTTCGGAAATTGAGGCAGCCATTAAAAATCTGACTGCTTCGTACAAAGGTGACCATTGTGCATTGGTTCGATCATCATGTGCGTTCATGGTGCATGTTTGTCAAGATGAACATCGGCTATTTTACCAATTCTTCACGAAACCATCTCAACAACTGACGTGAGTTGGTAACTCATTGGGATAAAAATCGTTAAAATTTATTTCCGAAACGTTGTTCACAATTTTAGATCTTATTCGGAGGGTATCTGCACAATTTTGTATGACACTCTGCGGCCGTACATCATTCATATCAATCACTTGGAAACTCTGGCGGAAATTTGTGGCATTTTGAGGATTGAAATGCTCGATGAACATGTGGCACATCATGGTGAGTAGTAGTCATTCGTACATGGAAACAGTGTAAGCCAATTCAAATTAAATTCATGAATTAAACGCATTTCCAGCTGATTCACTGGAAGCCTTTGGCAAGATATGTTTACAACTTCTGCAAGATGTTCAGGAGCGGCTTGTTTTCCGTGCTCATCTCTACTTGCAATCCGATATATTGAATTACAAGCCATCCGGTGGTGATCTGGCATACCCAGAAAAATTGGAAATGATGGAGGTAAACAGAGGCACAAATCAAAAACCAATTTAAAAAAAACCAAGAGTCAAAACATTTTCTCTCAATTTTTCAGAGTATTGCAAATTCCCTGAACGAAACTATGGTACGGAGTAGTGCGTCGATTGTTTCAATGAGTTCGGTGCACGACTCAAAACACTTGCCACGAAGTAAATTTACAATAATATTTTCACATTGATACGTTTTGCTAATAATAAAACTCATTCTCCTTAGATTCACCGGCCGATTTGCATGGGATGTGGTATCCAACGGTTCGTCGAACGCTTGTGTGTTTGTCACGATTATATCGATGCATTGATCGCCCAGTATTCCAAAGTCTTTCACAAGAAGCCTTATCGTATTGCATTCAGAGTGTGTCGCATGCAGCTCAATTAATTGCCACGAAAAAGACTTTCATCGATGGCGAACTCTTTGAAATCAAGCACTTGTTGATAATCCGTGAGCAAATCGCACCATTCCGCGTTGATTTTACTGTCCGTGAAACGAGTTTGGACTTTAGCAAAACAAAAACGGCCGCATTCAGTTTGTTGCAAAAACGAAAGCAACTTTTTGCCATGGATAGCAATAATGCACTGTTGGAATTCCTGTTCGATAGTACGCCACAAGTCAAGGAGCACGTTCATGATTCACGTAAAGATGTTGATCGTCACTTGAAGTTGATTTGCGAGAATTTCATTCGAGATGCTACCAATTTATTGATTGGCCCAGTTGTGTCGTTTATTGAGAAAGCGCAGGCTTTACTCAAGGCAAATGCATCGGCTCCAAGTGAAGCGCAACTGCCACAAGGCGGAGCAAAAACGGTGAATTATGTATTGCGACAAACACCGTGGGCAAGTCCACAACAAATTAGCGGCGTGATTCAAGAGTCGCAACGTCTCATCAAAAGCAAATTAACCGGTCTTCAACGCGCAATGCTTCTATATTTGGCAAATAAAGACACCGAATTCATTCTGTTCCGACCGATTCGAAATAATTGCATCAGTGCTTTTGTCAAGTTGGAACAATTGTTGAGCACGAACGGCTATACGAAAGACGATATGATCATCACGAGCTGCCCAACCGCCGATCAAATTTCTATTTTGTTATCAAGTGCCAGTTTAGTGGCTGAAGAAAGTAAACCGGAGGCATCAAGGAAAATCAGCACCACATCAAACAGTGGTCGCGACCAAATTATAAAAGAAGAGGAGCAAAGCAAAACGGCCGTAAAGGAGGAAATGGTAGTCACGCAAAGCATAAAGGCAGAAGAAAAACCGAAATCTTCAGAAACACCAGTTAGCGAAAACGTTGAACAAATTGTACAAGAGTAGGGGCGTTTGAAGTTATATTTTATTATTATGAGCCACAAAAAAAATATATATTTTGAAATGATGTTGAATAAAAACCTCATGAAAAACTAAACCAATTTCAATTGGAATTCATCATTTACCAATGTCTACAGATTCGAGATATTTGTCTCCACAAAAAGAAATGTCTCCACACCATTCCATTGATTTGTTAATGTCATTCAACAACTGTCACAATTTTCCATTATATTTGAGTCTTGTGTATCGGATGGACAGCTGTATTTTCATCTAACAATTACGTAATGACAAAAAACACAAATTTTTCCGTAAATAAAATAATAATTTGTTTGGTTTTAATTGATTTTTAGCGAAACAATTTAGTGAAGAATTGAATGCGATAGGATGGCCACTCCACCAGTTCAAGATCTACCTCCACCGGGTGGCTATAACCCAATCAATTTCAAGCGTGTTCAATTGAAGCCAATTCTCAGTGCAAAATTGATGTTTGCTGGCTATGCCGCACTTACGGCCGGTGCATACTACATGTACTATTTGACGGATCAGAAAATTACGCGTGAAGAGATCGAAATGCGCTCCTGCCGAAATGTTATGTTACCAATTGTGTTTGCTGAACGTGATCGCGAATACTTGAAGCAAATTCGACGTAATCGAGATGAAGAAGCTCGGCTCATGGCCAATGTTGAAGGATGGAAGGTGGGCACCTGGTTCGGTGAACCAGTTTACAAAACAGTTAAAAGCGATGATTGGATCGATCCAAGTATCCAAGAATTCTATTGCCATACAGCCCACAAACACTTCTTGGATCTTGCATTGTTTAAACACTACACGTAAAACAGCGACGACTGAGTCGCCCGATTTTCCATTCATGCAAATTATCTAGAGTCTGTAATCAGAAGATAGTTTTTAAATAAATCCATATAAAACATTGAAAATGATATTGTTTCATTCATGCGAATTTCATTATTGTTGGTGACTTTTAGACCTATGCAAATTTTACTTTTTTCCCTCAGTCTATTTTGTAACTTTTCATCGTCTCGGTATCAATCTCGAATATCTCGAAATGTATTTGTGTGTGTGTGTGTATGTATTTTGACATTTTGCATTTTATCATTCGCGTTTGCTCACATCAACCTGTTTTAATGTTCTATTCATCGTAGCGCACACAATGCTCGATTGTACATGTCAAACGCTAGAATATAGTCAATGTTTATTGTGTGCGGGCACACACAACCTATATATCAGTGTGTAATTAAATGCTCAAATTAGACGATGTAGTTGATATAACAAAAAGAAAATATGAAATAGAGAGCAACAACAATAAAAAAAAATAAACTCAGAAAGAGAGCTCATTGCATTCATGTCCTGCTATGAATGAAGTTGATGTTTGCGTATATTTACGCTCATTTTTGGTCGAATAGGTGTGATAATTAGTGTTTTTTTTGCAAACTCTATCATATCCATTGGATGGTGAATTCCTTTCTTTCGGGGTTTGTGTGTCAGTGACGTAAATTTTCTATGCGAAGTTTTACTTTCTCTAACATTTCAAATGGCAACAGATTAAAGTGATTTATTCATACGGTTCGCGGAATTTCTACGTAAACCCAAATCCAAAATGCGCGACATAATTTTCGGAATTTTTTCATTCGAATAACATATGCAATCGACAGACATTCACGTGTGTGTCGTGCATTAAATAACTACTTGCGGGAAATATTCGCTGTATGGTGTTCGTTTAGCTCCAAAGTCATGACAGGATATGGTTAGCGCCGTGTGAAATATATATTGCGTTTGTAAATATGGAAACTGGTGAAAATATAGTTCAAAATTTAATTGGGAAAAGCTCAAATGGTTTGAAAAATAATAACAATTCGATACAATTGAATGGCTCCCCTGTGGCGGATGAGACATTCGTCGCCACCAGTACAAATAGTATTGTAATTCACAAGGATATTGGATTCAGCGATGCGAATGAATCACAAAACAATACGGATATACAGAAGCCTAACGTCTTCGAATTGATTGGCGGCAATAAAAACTGTGATCGTGAAACTAGCGATTGCAATAAGAAAATCATTTTGAATAACAATGATTTGGCCATTGGGTTTGTTGACGACGACGAAGAGACGAATGCTGAAAACCAACGCGACACAACTACTTTTAATCATTGCAATTCGGATGAAGCCAATAAAGGACATGAAAATAACATCGGTCAGTAAATTTTTTCGTACACTATCATTACGTATTCTGGTTGTGAATTGAAAAAAAAAATAAGAAAACAAAGTTCAAAGTACAACATTGATTTTTTTTTCTCCACAACGATATAATCACATTCCATAGCGGGAAAAAAGTTAATTAATTAGCCTCTGCCTTGTTGAATTCTGACTTGCGCCACACTCAGCGTGTGCATTCAATGTGTGTTTCATTGCACTATGAGTCAATTGTGGTGGCTCTTGGAACTGCGTTTAATTCAACTTTGTAATTAAATTGAATTAATGCATCGCATCATTCAATCGAAAGATGAGCTAATGTTGATTCTATAAACGTCGCACCAAGCGTTGAGCTGCTGCTGCTGTTACTGTAATTCGATATAAATGACAAGGCAGCAAAGACAACTTTTCAAATCTAGTTCAATTAACTTGTGTCAATTAACGTATTAACACTTGTTTTAATAGAGACATTTACAGCCTATAATTTTCCGTTGCAATACCGATGATTGAGTTAATTTGGTTCTAACGAAATCTCTTCTAATTTCATTGTTTTTTTTCGCTTTTTAGATGTCATTGTTTCTACAAAAGAGCCCACCGATGTGGGCATTACTGTAAAAGAGAACGAGCCCACAATTATCGGATCAAATCATGTAGACGGAGCTTGCTCGAATCCAAATCTAACGCCATGCGCGGGAGTTCGTCGAAAATCGCCAGTAACAAAAGCCAATACCGAAACAAATGTGCAATTTAATGAAACATCGAGTACGGGCAGTGGAACCAAAAAGAAAATTCGCCCAAATGCAACGACATCAAAAACATCACCAAATCGTCAAGATTACTACAGCATTTGGACGGCAAGAGAAGCATTCGAAACAAATATTGATGGGAATCAGAAATCGATATCGAATGAAATTGCGGCACCACCGTTGCCGCCTCGAAATCAAAATACAGCTAGTCAATTGCATCGGCCGCTCGAGCGATCGTGGCCGCCACGAGTTTCACGCGTTAACAAACCATCACCAGTTGTCAATGAAAATGTATTTCAATTTGATATCATCGACATTGATGATCCAGTCAATGGGGCTCATGATGTGGTTCCCGATTTTCAGCGAGTCGATTTTATTCCGGGAGAATTTTTCGACGAACGACACAAAGAGAACGGAGTGAAAACTATTAATAATAATAATCGTGAAGAATGTGCACCGTTGGCCACTCCCGAAACCGATGGCAGCTCAGAAATGAATGTTTTGAAAGGCGCAATGAAAACGCCGGAAAATGTGATATTGAAACCATTGCTGAAAAAGAAAATCGGCCCAGACAATTACATCAGCACAATTTTAACGCAAAAAATGGCGGTCGCGGTAACGGCACCGCCACCCAAAAAGTTTGAATTTCCACCAAACGATGGAGCAACGAGTTCGATAAGTAATCTAGTCACAAATGAAAGTACGCAAACGAATTCCGGGCCGACTCCATGCGAAATAATCCCATTGAAACCACACAAACCGCTGTCACGGCAATTGTCAGCGAATAATGCTCATACGTCATTCGAATCAAATGATAGCCCAAGACATGCAATGAATCATGACGAAGTGAATCGTCACTTTACATTGTGCAGAAAACCATCGTTGACACGACAACGAAGTCCACCGTCCGGTTCGTCGACCCGTTCGGTGTCTCCGCTTGATCATATTACGTCTTCGCCAGAAGGAGCGGCACCTTTGGCTCAAATCACAACGAGGAACAGTCGATCGTCATCAGATAGAAGTCGATCGCTAACTCGAACCGGCGACTTGAGCACACATAACACCAGTAATGGTCCAATTTGTCCGCCGACACCTACACACCATGCCAGGCGGTTCCGTTCACTTTCACTGAGTATGGGTGCGCCGGAGCTACGATCAAGAGAAAGATTTTTGATGGACAATCCATTGGCCGATATGAGGCAACCCATGAATCTCACAACTGAAATGCGAGAAAATGGCGAAGGAAATGAGAGCTCTTCTTCGCTGACGCATATTACAAGCACTCGTTTGCCGTCGATACCGGAACGAGCCCGGCCAGTCACCACGACCGATGAAGAGCTGCCTGGCAGCTGGGAAGCTCGCATGGATTCACAAGGTATAGAAGTAAAGTAATAAGTAATTTATTACTTATTACTTTGATTTTATTTCTGTAATAAGATGGACTTATTACTTATTCCGCACCTTGATGAGTAATAAGTAATAAGTCCATCTTATTACAGTAATTTTATTACAAAGTAATAAGATGAGTAATAGGTAATAGGTCATCTTATTAAAGTAATAAGTAGGTAATAAAGTAATAAGAATTACTTGTTTTTACTTCTATATCACAAGGCCGAATTTTCTACATTGATCATATGACACGCACAACAAGCTGGCAGCGACCCGGTGGAAGTGGACCAATCTTTGGTAGTGGTCGAGAACAACATCGTCAACAGCTCGAACGACGTTATCAATCTATCCGACGTACAATTACCAGCGAACGAAATGATATGGCTCAATCGAATGGATCGCCACGAATGGATGGTTCGGAATCGGGCGCTGATGAAATCCATCCGGCCGTTAAATTGTTATGTCGACCCGATTTCTATTCAAAACTGCACACAAACGAAGAAGCCTTGATTGTTTACAATCGAAATGCAGCGCTCAAACACATGATACTACGCATACGCCGTGATATTAACTGCTTTGAACGGTATCAATACAATAAGGATTTAGTTGCTCTTGTTAATTGTTTTGCAATTGATCGCGATTTACCCATTGGCTGGGAATCCAAGCTCGATTCGACCGGTAAGCAATTCTTTGTCGATCACACCAATCGAAGAACATCGTTTATGGATCCAAGACTACCAATTGAATGCCCACGGATTCGGCATCTACAACAGCAAATTGAAGCGGCTCCGATGCCACCACCACGGCCAGCACTTATGCCACGACCACCGACAAGCTCACCAGAAATACCTGTTGCGTATAATGATAAGGTAAAACGATTTTTTCAACGTTACAAGGAAAATGAATCGAAGAAAGTGTTGCTGTTATCGAATTTAATCACTTTGCTACATATTTTTGGTTTCAGGTCGTTGCGTTCTTAAGACAACCGAATATTCTGGAGATTCTCAAGGAAAGGCATGGACAATCGGCAGTATCGAGGTCGTTGCGCGAAAAAATCAATGCCGTACGCGTTGAAGGAACAACAGCTCTCGAACGGCTTGGTCATGATTTGCAATTGACTATCTTATTGAGGTAAATTTTGCAATGGCTTCTACTCGTCAAAATTGGTTATTTCATTTATAGGGTGTTTTCTATGCTATACGATACGATCGGATATATAATTGCCATTTTTTCCTCGTTTTTCAACGGTTTCATTTAATAGCTGCATATCTAAGTGTGCCGTTACTCGACCAATTAGTATGAACGCGAAAAAAATGCGCCTTCCAATAATCTTTGTGTGTATGCGTGTGTTGTGCTAGTATGAGGGTTCCGATTTTTATTCTATTTAAAAGTCTTTCCAGAACATTCTGTTTGATTACATGAATAATAAATGATTGCGACGATATGCTTCGAAAGGCAAACATAAATATGCAAATTAGATGACTAGATGCGGGCACATGCGAAATTTCAATTGAAAAACAAAACAGGCTAATGTTTTTAATCAATAATTCTCCATGTCTTGAGACCATGTAATCCACATGTGTATATCTTTTGAATTGGTCTCGCCTTTCGATATTTAAAATAATAAAAATAGACGGATAAAATGAGTCATATCAATTTAAAAATTCAACCGCCTTTTTGTTAACGAATTAAGCAGCCGCTTGAGTTTTGGGTTCTAAATTGCGGAAATTCATTAATTCTTCTCGCCATTCATTAAGCTTAATTGAATACGTGAGGGGGAATGCGATTCAACAAAATAGAATCATTCTAATCAAATTCGTATTGATTCATTTGGAGTTTTGAGTATTCGTTCTAAAATTTTCGCCTTGATGGTAATTATTTGAAGAAAAAGAAGCGGCAACAACATTGTCGTCATATAGACAAAAAGATAGAGAAACGAACTCTAAAATTCCGACTCAGACGGCAGTTTCTATTTACAATTGTTGTCATAAACATAAACATTTATGATCGAAAATTGACAAAACCTGTTTAGTGTTTCACACATTGTTAATTTAATTGTTCTTACTCGTGTCATCCTGTTCGCACATGTTTTGATTTATTGCAAATCAATCAGCTTGAAATTCGATTCGATGCAATATTTGAAGAGAAGAAAAAAACGAATCGTACGTTTGTAAACAAAACGTAATAAATATCTGTAAACAAACAGAGATTTCTTGAATTACTCATTACAATGGGCAATAAAAGCACGAAAGGTGTTTTGATTATTCTGGCGCTTCTTCAATATTTGACGTCGTTCGGAAGCTCATCCAATGGGTGATTTGGCTGCGTTGTCAGAAAAAATGACTTTATCATGACGAAACATCAATAATTTCACTGAGAGATTCGACGATCGAACAAACATTTTATCTGCATTCATTTCACAATGCAACGTGTGATCCAATTGAAAATAGCCATTGTTGTCCGGTCGACTTATTTCATTATAACTGTCATATAAATCATTTCAAATGCTCATATTTGTTTGTTCAACTTCGGCTTTTCTGAGTAAAGAAATTCTGTTTGGTTTCCGGTTTAATAATAATTGAGCGTTATTGTTTTTTATTCCACCAACAGCTGGGGGGAGGGTGCGGCAAATGATAAATTTAGAACATTTGCGCTCGAAAATAGATATCTTAGAATAAATATGTCGTTTGGAGTTGAATTCATGAGCCATTTAATGGTATTCCGTGAATTGTCTCAATGACCGTGTTGTTTTTTGCGCAGTTGAAATGGTCCGTGTTTGAATTACAAATGAGTTAATTTTCAATCGATATGAATCATTATCATCATTATATGGGTGTAAACAAAAATGTGCAAGAATCGATAAAATTCGATGAAAATTTCACCATGAAATCAAATGTGAATGACAATGGCTCAATATGTTAACACGACAAAGAAAAAAGGACATCCCAATAATTGCACCTAATTCGGAAATGATAGCACACTGCAGAAGGTCTGTAAACAGATTGCCAGAGATAAACAGTGAAAACACGATAAAAAAATATCAATCAACTGAGTAATGAGTGTGGCATTTGGTTTTTTTTTAGATAATGTTCAACATAATAACCGATACGATTTTTGTGTTTCCGTTGGTGCTTAATCAATACAGTTCTGCACGCGGGAAACTTTTTAAAAGCAGAAAAAAACAACAGCAAAAAGCAATTATTGAGATAATACGATGGTTACTGTTAGCAGAAAAAAAAGACAAAAAAAAACGAACAACGATATAATTGGCCGATCGCTCACACTCATACATCAAAAACAGTCGTTCGCTCGTTCGTTCGTTCGGTCGGCAGACGACCACGATGTATGAGTCAATCGATCTGCTTGGTCTGCTCAGCGCATTTATATTTTCACTCGTTCGTATTATCCATTCGCACTTAACTGCCGCCAAACTGTATAGAATTTCATATCTCTCCTTCATATTGGATTCTAATGGAGTGTGTTGATGAAAAAAAAACGAAACGAAACAAAAACAAAACCCAGCCACATGCGCTGGGCGTTTGTGTGTGAAGTGCGAATTGTTTTTGCTTTAACATTTGTTCTTCATGCGTGCAATTGACTACAAACAGACATATCAATCGGTGCAATGTGTGTGGTGCGGCCTCCGTGGATTTCGTCGGTTGGAAATTAGTTTGCCGCTATAAGCAAAGGCGCGCGTATCGATCTCACCCGAACTCAGTTCGTTTCAAGTAGTCATAACGGTTTGTTGGTTCCTCTCTTCGGCCGCGCGAAATTATTGCCGAAATTTTGTGTTTTAATTGCCACGGCAAATAAATTAATTCAAAATCCGTTTTCCCAACACTAGAATGAACTTGAAAGTAAATTACATACGTTAAACATAATAAAATAGACTTTCGATTTCGGTAACCGTTGCTGCAACGAGTCTGCAGTTGTTTTCGATTCTGTGTTGTGCACCAGTGATTTTTCAATGCTTTGTTTATGTTTAAAAATCGATCATTCAAGCTACGACTGAGAACATAAAATGCACTGCATTTATTATTGAAAACAAAATAAAAATAAAATAGCACCGGAAGTTGGCATTTTAATTGCTCAGTGAGACTCAGTGATTTGTTTGCAGATAGTGAGAGAGTTGTACCATCCAATCAATTTGTTTGTGAGGTTCATTCCATAAAAGAATATCAACCACATGAATATGGCATGCATATTGCTGTATCCAATGGAGCATTGACTCTTTAGTACACACTTTGTCTTTTTTTCCCAGTGAAATGAACTGTATTGTTTGTGATATGCATTTTAGAAATATACAAAATGAAAACGCTCACCTGTTCAGCAAATAAAATTAAATTATGACATAAAAATGGAGATATATCGTGTCGGTTTATCTGGAGGAAACACACTTGATGAACTCAAATGCAATTTTTATTACTCACGCAACGATTCGGTTCTGAATTTTGTAAGCGAGATCTAGATAGAAGATAGTAGAGATATAAGTGTCAGCTACAAATTTTCCTTTGGAATACGGTTAGCGGCAGAAAATATTGTACTTCTCTGAATTTCAAATGGTTCTCGCATATTCGATGCAATTGAACTGCATTATAGTCCATTAACCTACAAGAAATTGTTTGGTTTCTCCACCCGGCTTCGTGCCATTCCATTGGATTAAAGATCAAACATTAGCGATGCTTGTGACCATTGTGAACTACCGTGCATTACAAGAAATTGATCTCTTTTTACGCCCGTCGTAAACACATCGCCAATACATCCAATACCGGACATTTTTCCACGGCGATACAAAAGCATTTTTGAACTTATCACATTGTTCCCATTCGTATTCAATTACATCGTAGCTGTTGCCGTTGTAGCAAGCGTTCGTCATGCATGTAAGCCTTTCGCGAGTACAAAGTATGAAACCTTAGCCGTGAATTTAATTAGAATATCATATTTCGTTTTCTTTACATTGATTTGACGAAAACTAGATGAGCTTTGAGAATACATGTAGTCGGTTTTAAAATGAACAAACGATTTATTTATTACTCCATCAAACACATTCGAATCGGTGACATTCTTTTCTAATGCCAAACCCATTACGGCGGCCCGATAAGACATTAACATTTTACATGCTGTCTCCCTCCATTTTTTGACTATTTTCACTTTTAACTGTACCATATTACATTTTACCGCAGAAAACTAAAGCAACCGACTTGTTTCCGGACTGTGGCCAAAGTAAATCGATGTCGCATGGCAATTTGGCATTACTTTTATCTATGCCGTAAAGGGCAAATAATTTATAACAAAATTCTTTTTGGAATCCATTTTCTTTGACCTTCACATCATTTCAAAATGTTTCGACAAATTTGCGATGAAAGAAATATCAAACGCTTGAAGAAAAAGAATCGCCCATCTACCTGAATTGAAATATTGTCTCGCAGTTCGTTTTTCATCAATATATTCAAATGAGTGTCATTTTTGTTTTTGACGTAGACATGCAATCAAAGCGTGACCATTAACTTAATCAGTATGTCATTATTCACAAGAACTTTTTGTCAGTCAGTCGGTTTTTTGTTTGTTTGGCTTGTAGAGACATTAGACCATGGGTTAATATTGCCAAAAAAAGGAATAAACAATATAAATATGCGAATTTTAACTGATAAATTCGAATTGTTTCAACAAGTTTTCGTTTACCATTTGAACTGAAACGATAACGGTGCAATTTTGTTTTACCTTTTGATCGTATAAAAGGTTCTTCAATAAGAGCCGACTGGTTAGCACGCGAAATCCTCGATGAAAATTATTGTTAACTACGTAACATTTTTTGCTGAGTGATTCTGAAATAATCACAAGTGATGAGACCTTTTGTCTGCTCTCTTTTTATAATGCACAAGGCTGCAACTAAGCATGAATCAGTCCTAATTGCGTTCGATGTGTGATTAGATATGATTACCCAAGTTTTTTTTTCACACATAAACCCATTGCGTATTCAGATAACATGCGTAATTGATCGTATTTTGTGTCAATTCACACATTTTTATAGATATGGTTTTAATGCTCTAATGGAATTGATTGATTTGAACAAAATCAAAATGCCAATCGTCCCACATCAGATAACGTTTATCAACTACAATGTATTCAGAAAAAAAAATTGGCGTGTGATCCAATACTTGACCATTGTCTATAGATTGCTAAAAATCGACAGATTTTCCAGCAAGTGATTCACATTGAAAATCACTTTTGTTATGGCTTCATGGAATCATCCCCATAAATAAGTCCGAAATATCTCCAACAATCCCAAATTACTCAAAAATTGGTTTATAGCATTTGCCGAGATGCCACAGTTGATTTATTTTTCATAATTAAGACAAATTAGAGAAACCAAATGCAATCCTTGCTTGCGGCTCTTTGAATTCTTGCTTCATCATCGCTTGCACTTTTCGTGACTAATTTCATAGCGTCTTTTGTTGTCGTCAGTATTTTGGTTTGGTTTGCATTAACATTTTGGTTTGCTCACTAGCTCAGTCTCTATTCACTTCATACTATAAGTGAATTCAACGGATTGTTTTATGTTGAAGATTTAAACCAATCTACGTGCCCTCCAATCGAAAAATAGAACCAAAACGTCTTCTTCAAACAACTAACTTTGTTCCATGAATCATAACGTCATAAAATCTGTTGTTGACTCTTACGATAAACATCGAATGTTTGAAATTGTGCACGTTTCCGTTAAATATCAATGAATGAATATCATAAACAATAACAGTCTATTCAGATTGAATACTTTCGAGTGACTAATGAATGAGCCTCTCGTAATCATCAATCCAGAAATATAAACATCAAATCAGCTCGCGTCTGCTGAATCAATTCAAGTACGCATTACGACAGTAGTCGCACGACGAAACAATTAATCCCGATGGTGAAATAGATTGTGCGAATTGACTCACATTGACTGCAAGGAGGAGATGTAATCGTCCGAGTGCAAGAACCACTTAAAGTGAATGATGTGAATTTATAAATAAAAACACAACGATAAATAAAGACATTTAATTGACCAGTGAATGGATATCTTATCGAATTTCGGTCTCATGTGTACGCAACATTTCGCTGGCCCGTGATTCTACATTCCAAATATCGACTGAAAATGAATTTAGAGTACTTTGGTCAACAGAATGGGATTCATCACGAAGGCAATATCGATCGTTTTTCAACTGTAAGTGTCACACCACTTTAAACACTCGTTGTGATGAAGGAAAACCATTTAAAGTACTTATAAACAAAGTTTCAACGGCTGAAGTGTAAGATTATTCAAGTTTGAAGTGTTCCAATCATTTGCGATTATTCAAAATATATCTTCTGCCTTTTTTTTTAAAGGAATTATCTTCAATCCACTTGAAATATACTTTAATTTTATCTAAATCAATCCTTTTAAAAAAGAAATCAATGAATCCAAACACGTAATTGAATTGTTTTACTCTGAACGAAAAAAAATCTTATCAATTTTAAACGAAACCAACCCATTGCCAAATTGAGGAAATATCGCAAAAGTTTTGTTCGCACCTCTTATTGAAATTATCAATTTTTTCGCGAATAATTAAAAAGCGGCTCGCTTTGTTTAAGTGTTGCTTAGCCCGTTCCTTGTGTGTAGCTAATTTCCGAGCAAACACAGGCGCAATAATGTAGTAGTAGCGGCCCGAGTATTTATTCATATTAGTCATTTTTCACACCTCACATTTTATTTGGCGAAATAAAAACAAAAGAGCCATTTAAATATTGTATAAACAATGTAGATACGGTAGACTGTTTGGGCGATCCGACTCGCTTAGAAATTAGCGCCTCAATTCGGTGTATTTATCCAATTATGACAACGAATTTAAACGATATTCTTCAGACGATTCGATCAATATTTGCGCATACTAATTCATGCGATTTATGCATGTTATCTGCTCTGTAAGTACCATTTTTCCACTCAGTGTATCGTTCGCACAAACAGAAGCTGATATTGTTAAATGTTTCATGATCATTGGCCATGTTTGAATATCATATTAAAAGTATGGCGCGCGCATTAACATTGAATTAGGTTACCAGAATCAATGGCGAACAAATTGAACAAATGATAAAAATTCTCTTTGTTTTTTTTTCTCCTTTTTTCGCAGTCTTTTTGAGCAAGAGATAATGAGCTATGTACCGGTACAAGCTAGAAGTCCACAAGGTTCACCAAATTTGAACACAAATCGCATCGCTCAACGTGCACCGCCGCCATTCCGACGTGACTTTGAGGCAAAACTTAGAAGCTTCTATCGAAAACTTGAATCGAAGGGCTATGGTCAAGGACCTCACAAATTAAAGTAAGTGATTTAAATGAATACAATTTAGATTGAAAATGGTATATATTAAGTGTTTAGCATGTCTTTAGCACTGAGAGGTAGGTAAAAATGTGTGCGGAAGAGGAATTTTTTTCATTCAATCAGCACCTTGCACTCCTCTTCCGTTACAATTCTACCCACTTTATACGAAAAAAAAAACGAAATTAGATTTTAAAAAATTCAAATTCTTCGAAGAAAAAACATAAGAAAACAATTTTATTCGAAACAAATCTTCCTTTCATTAGGCTCCACATTCGTCGATCACATTTATTGGAGGATGCATTCCGGCGCATAATGTCAGCAAACAAAAAAGATTTACAACGTGGCCGATTGGCTGTTATATGGGATACGGAGGAAGGATTGGACTATGGTGGGCCGTCACGTGAATTTTTCTTCTTGCTATCACGCGAATTATTTAATCCTTACTATGGCTTATTCGAATATTCCGCCAATGACACGTACACGGTGCAGGTGTCACCTTTATCAGCATTCGTTGACAATTGTCACGATTGGTATGTTTTTTTTAATGAATTTTCCATGTACTTCCCAGTGAGCCAACATCAAATCATTTTGTGTGTGAATTTCACTTATATCTTAATCCATTTTTTCGATCTTAGGTTCCGATTCAGCGGTCGAGTATTGGGACTGGCATTGGTTCATCAATATCTTCTCGATGCATTCTTTACAAGGCCATTCTACAAGGCGCTATTAAAATACCAGGTTTCACTCAGTGATTTAGAATCGTTGGACATGGAATTCCATCAATCGCTGCAATGGTTGCGAGACAACGATATCGGAACGGGAAGCTCGTTAGGATTAACTTTCTGTGTTACTGAAGAATTGTTGGGACGCATTGTCGAGCGGGAATTAAAACCGGGCGGAAAATCGATTGTTGTAAATGAGCGCAACAAAAAAGAATATTTGGAACGAATGGTGAAATGGCGATTGGAGCGGGGCGTTCAAGAACAAACCGAATCACTTGTTCGAGGATTTTATGAAGTGGTCGATCCACGGCTTGTATCAGTTTTTGATGCACGTGAATTGGAACTCGTAATTGCCGGTACGGCTGAAATTGATATCAATGATTGGCGCAGTAATACGGAATATAGGAGTGGATACCACGATGGACATCAGGTGATCATTTGGTTCTGGCAAGTGATTGAAAAATTTACCAACGAACAACGGCTACGATTACTTCAATTCGTTACGGGCACATCGTCAATTCCATACGAAGGATTTTCGGCTTTGCGCGGTTCAACTGGACCCAGAAGGTACGAAACCGATTGATTTAATCGAATATTATTTTATTATAAATCAAAATGATTTTCTAATGAAAAATTCTCTCGTTCCAAAACAGATTTTGCATCGAAAAATGGGGAAAGGCTTATGCACTGCCACGTGCACACACTTGTTTCAATCGTCTAGATTTACCACCTTATCAATCGTTAAATATTCTACACGAGAAACTTTTACTTGCCGTTGAGGAAACCAACACATTCGGTATTGAATAAGACGTGTGAATATGACCGAAAAAAAAGAAAGAACATTTGGATTATCACTTTTGATACAAACCAAACATGGAGTTACCGTTTTTTATCCCTTAAGCAGTTATGGTCAAACGTGGCCAGCGCGATTTCTTAGCGAGAAATATTTTTTTTACTTTTTTTCACGCTTTTAAATGTTCCTAGCTGTCGTTTTGCGTTCTCTTGGGCCATGGGGTTTATAGCTGGTAGAACGAAGTATCCATTTTTATTCGAAGAACCTTGACGTGCCCTTTTAAAAATTGTGTGTAAAATTTCGTTTAGAATATAAGCTTTCATGATTTTTCATTTGGCCGATATTTATGGTAGAGTTCATTTTTTTGAAAACGTTCTATTTGCTGAGCTAAGCCGAGAATGACATAACTCTGAATGTCGTTGAACCGAATAAATGTGAAGTGAAATTCGGTTGGATTGGAGCACAGGAGTTCTACACTTCGCAAACACTTCTTTTTCCACTTAGCTGTAGCAAGACGTTTTGCCTTTGAATTGAAGCATTCCACCAAAATAATTCCAATTTTTTTCTCGCACAGATTTATAAACACACACACACACACCGAATATTTTACGGAATCTAATCTTAATCGAATATCTTTCAATAGTACATCCCAATTGCAATTGATACAGTTCAATAGTTGAGAAATGAATATACAAATTGCATTAATGACAACAAGATAAAAATCCCAAAAATTATTTTGAATAAGGATTTGACCATTTTTTTTAAAACTTCCATTAAATAGCGAAAAATAGTTAAGCATCACGATTTGAATTGAACTAACGTTTAAGATAGATGCTATGAATGTTCGACGGATCCGATTTTATGTTAAGATTTAAGAGAGTTAAATGTATCTAGTCAAAATAAAAACCGTTTAATTCAAATGAATGGTGGTCATTTTATTTTCTCATACTTTCCGATTACCCAGGTGCAACTAAGCGCTTATTCCAATGAGCAATTAAAAGCCATTAAATTGTTTGCATATAAAATATTGTTTTATTTTTCCATTCTTAAACCCCAAAGTACAGATAAACCTTAGCACTAGCAATCTGTGCCATTTTTCATAAGGCGTCTCCACTCGCATTGAGTTTGTATTGTGAATGTTAAGGTGCGTGCAACGCCCTTCAATGTAAAAAACAATACAAGTGGAGATGATACACGGGATTTATCTGTACTTTTATTGAATTGTTTGTATTAACAATAAAATAGAGTTACAGATAAATACCGTCATCCATACAATCAACCGAATATCATACGTATCCCAGTTCAAAATGTAAGTATATGTTAAATAATAAGAGTTTTCTTAAACTGATGCGAACATCGGATGAGTTTGGTTCGAAAATGTGAATTTCTTTAGATCAAAAATGTTGCGGAGAATCTCTTGCGTTGGTGCAAAATGACATTAGTACATTGTAAAATTTGCAGTACTCTTTGCAAATAGACACATTCATTGGCAGAATACTTCATAAGTATTGGCGCCGAGGATTTTCACTTTTTCCGAAATCAAATACAGCGTTACCAGAGAGGTGGATAGACCGGGCGGTTGATTTGTGGTGTTGAATCGTTGCTTGGCAAGCCCGTTGATGACGGGGATCAATTTTGGTATTGGAATGCTAACTGTATTTATGTTTGGCAAAGGTTCACTTGTTGATGCTTCAGTTATTGTTGCACACTCGTCCGTCGACTCGATCGCTGACGTCGTCGCCGCCGCCGTCGATGTATTTGTGATGTGATTCGGTTTGATACCATTTTCAGTGACAATGGTTCCATTCACCGGTTTGAAGTAGAAATCGGCAATGTTGTCCATAACAATCGAAAATCCGCGGCTCACATTGTTTGCATTCAGCATTGATACATCGCTGCTCTCGAGCATGTCAATGGTTTCGTTGTACATTTTCTCGAATAATGCGTCTGATGTGCTGGCTGGCACATCACTTGGATAAACATAGCTGGCCAAATGGGTGCTTGGATCGCTTGCATCACTATTGATGGCCATTTGAATGGAGCAGAAAATTTGTTCGGTTTCGTTCAGTGTGAGTTTTCGGCTCAAATCGTACGAATTGACGATTTGTTCGACTTTCTGCTCAACCAATTGGCAGAGTGCATCGCATCCATCGCTTAAAAAGTGTTGAATTAAGGCCACATAATTGTGTTGCAGTTCTGAGGTCACCTGTTCATCACTATTGATTGCATCTTTATAAAGATACCCGCCGAGAATGTTGAATTGTACGCGTAGCGTGATGACCAGCATGGAGCAAGCATATACCAATGCGCATAATCGACCGATTGCCAACACTTTTAACTTGTTCCACAAGACGATTTTCTCATCTGGTTTATTTCGTAGCTCAGCAACAATGTGGTCTGCATCCAGATTTTTGAGAATTTGTTCGATTAAATTTGGCGCCAATCCCATAATTGCCTGATTGCACGTTCGTTCCGTCGATTCAAAATGCTGTGTACGACGGGTGCGTTCAAAAAATTCACGCGCTTTAGACTCCTGATATTCAATCAACTTTCGCTGTGCATATCGAAGTGTCAACATTCCACCGGCCACGACGAAACCGCCAATCAAAAATTTACGCCGATGACGATTCACGAAATTCTTCATTGCCGAGAACATTGTGATGAAGTTTGTTTAATTTTCTCCCAACTTGTTTCAAATCTGGAAAATAGACACAGAACGGTACAACATTAAAACACCACTTACACTCATGACATACAAATCTACTATGAATTAACAATGAGATACGAGTTGGTGCAAAGGAAATGTGTGTTAATACGACAGTGAACTGAATTAACACTTGTTCATTCTCACGCTAATCACCATTTGTCTTCTTCCAACGCAGTCGAAATGAACATTGTTAAGCATAAAAATGCGTTTCATTGGAACATACGCACAAGAAATGGCGAGGAATTATACAAAACTACATTCTATATTTGGTTGGAATAATAGTATGAATTTTAATGTAAATTACCTATTTGATTTGGAAAACCATACACACAAAAAAAAACTCATAAATAAATAATAGCCTGCCAACTTACCTCAACTAATTTCAACGGGAGACTAATCTCCTTTAACGTATCGACTGTTGATTCGTTTAAATCAACATCATTTACTATCCTTCCACCGGAAATTAGAGAAAATTCACCGAATGCAGAACAACAAACAAATCGTTTTTGCTTAAAATAATTCGGCTCTTTCGACACAATTACGTTTGGCACACACTTCTTCTGTTTTCAATTGACGCAGTGGTTTTTGTGCTGTACACATACCAATGCACGTCAAATAGTTTGTTTTTTTTTTGTTCGAAAATTGATGTGTCAATTCGTCTGTCAGTTGAACAGTTGGCGAATCTTCAAATTCAATGTAAACACTCCACAAACGCTGAATGAAGTTTTATTTTTTGGGATTTTTGTTCACAATTTGTGGGCATTTGTGCAATGGTTTTTTGAGGAGAAAAATTATCAAAAAATTTCCAGCTGAAGTTTGACAAAAAAAAAATATTGATAAGAATGAGGGGAAATCAGAGAGTGAATCCGTTCAATTGCTCACTGACGATTCAAATGAATGTTCATCATACGTTTATGCATGCATGTGATGGTATATTCAATGAGAAAATAATGTCGGATTCGTTTTTTAAAAAAATTCATGAATAAATTCAAGTAATTTATTTAGATAATCCATCAATTATTATTAAAATAATTTCACAAATTCTTCCGATTTCGCTTCTCAAATCAAACACCATCAGTAATGTGAATGCGGCTTAAAGACATTGACACATCGTACGTTTCGAAGTTGCCATGTTCGATGTGCGAATTCGTCTTACTGCCCCTTGTTATCGATCGAACAAAAAAAAAATTTCTCTTGTCGTAGTCATATACAACGCAGACAGAGAAACAGAGAGAAAGTGATTGTGACTCAGAACAGAAAAAAAACAGAAATAATTCGTCATTTGTGAACGTAAAAACGCACGGAATTTTTTGAAATTACGTATTAACATTTTGGTGGAAACGTTTCAATAAACAAATAGAAGATAAAATGTCTGATAACGAGCAGAAAGCACTTCAGTTGATGGCTGAAGCTGAGAAAAAACTTACAACTACAAAAGGATTCTTTGGCTCATTGTTTGGGTGCGTATAATTTGCATTTGAAAATTGATGAAAAATCGATGAAATTTCAAATGGCATAACGAAATTCACGTATTTAATGGTTTCAATTCAGAACATTAGCTCAATGAATTGATTGAATTCGTTTAATTTATTCCTAATTCAATGCCATTGTAAATTTTATGTATCATTAATTATCTGTACTGTGTGAGCTTTGTTTTGTCATGTCTGTGTACTTGACATTTGCAATTATCGATTAGGTTCATTTTCTCTGAATTCCATTGCTTGGACATAGACATAAGCGAGCGTACTATGTGCGTTTTTATTGATTCAATTTGATTTGAATAATTGTAGTGGTGGCTCAAATCGACTCGATGAAGCTGTGGAATGTTATCAACGGGCAGCGAATCTGTTCAAGATGTCCAAAAATTGGTCGCAAGCTGGAAAGGCCTTCTGTGAAGCAGCCAACTTGCATTCGAAGGCTGGTAGCCGTCATGATGCTGCCACCAATTACGTGGACGCTTCGAATTGCTACAAGAAAACTGATGTACAAGAATCGGTTAACTGCTTGCTGAAAGCAATTGAAATCTACACGGATATGGGCCGTTTCACCATGGCCGCCAAACATCATCAAACCATTGCTGAATTGTATGAGGGCGAAGCAAATGATTTGGTAAGAATGGAATCGATTTCATTTACTTGACAAGCTTATGTCGAATGAATTCAAGTTGAAAATGGTGATTAAAACTCTTCTCTCTTTCTCTGTTTTCAGTCACGCGCTGTCCAACACTACGAACAAGCTGCCGACTACTTCAAAGGCGAAGAATCAACCAGTTCGGCCAATAAGTGCATGTTAAAAGTGGCTCAGTATGCTGCCCAACTCGAAGACTATGAGAAAGCCATTCAAATCTATGAACAAGTAATAACGCATGCAGATTTTATTTTCTCATTGCATTTTTCGATTTCATATTTTATCCGTATAATCATCGATAAAAAAAAACTCATTGTGATATTTTATTGTAGGTTGCCAGCTCATGTTTGGATAGTTCGTTGTTGAAATACAGCGCCAAGGAGTACTTTTTCCGTGCTGCTTTGTGTCATCTCAGTGTGGATTTGTTGAATGCCCAGCACGCTCTTGAAAAATATGCACAGCAATATCCGGCGTTCCAAGATTCACGCGAATACAAATTGGTGAAGGTATGTGTGTTTGTGCCGATAAACTCAGAAATGATTTCGCTTAGAATTACCTCAGCCAAATGACACCTTGCCTTATTTTTTCAATCAACTTTATTATTACAACTGATTTCTGTATTGTGTTCTCATTCCAGACACTTTGCGAGCATTTAGAAGAAACAAACATTGAAGGATTCACCGATGCGATCAAGGATTACGATAGCATTTCGCGGCTTGACCAGTGGTACACCACAATTCTGTTACGAATCAAGAAACAATACAATGAAGATCCCGACTTGCGATAAATTGCCCATCGATCGACTTTGTTCGCAGTGCAAAACAGCATCAATTTAAAGTTTTACCAGGCGTTAGTTGCAAAGCTAATCACATATTAATTATGATTAATAGACATGAGTAAGAATGAAATAAAACACACCGGAAGAAATTAATTATATGCAATTGATGGGAAGAAAAATAACAAAATATGAAATAGAATAATTGGCATAATCGTAAATGGCAAATAGATATGAATTTGGAAAATCCAACAGGATCTTGAAAAGTATAAATGTTAAAATTCCGTTCACGTTATAAAATACAACAACAACAACAACAGCAACTAAAATAAAATCAGAAAATAAATAAATACAAATAAAATGATACCATCAATTCAGTAGACGGTTATAATAGTTCGTAATGTATTAAACATATAACAATCTCTAATTTTATGCTTCAACTTTATTTATACATATTCATTGTTTAGGATATATCAAAAGACAGACGTAATGTTCATAGAATATTTTCTTTCGGTTTTTGTGATTGTCCAAAAAAAAAAAAGAAAACTATTTGTTATTGGAATCGGATGAAGGTCAGCATTGTGATGAGCATTTGCCGGAGTTTGCTGCATTCAAGAGTACTGCTATTCCAATTGGCAAATCACTTAAAAAAACGTAAGTGAATCTTTGTGCAAATGCCATCCAGGAATTTTGCACACAGAAAAATATGAAATTTTTTTATTTTGTCTTCGATATGTTTGTAAATGATTTTCAAATGAAAATACGTATCTCTAAACTAAATACAGAAAAAAATATAATATATATATAATTTCCTAATAGATAAATTCACGATTCAATAAAATTACCAAAACTTTAGCACGTTTCAAAATTATCTTATAACAACAACATTCATCCGCAAACACTTTTATTGTATATCTATTTAAAGCAACAACAACAAAAAAATCTATAACAAAATATGATCTAAAATAATGGCGACACGCAAATAGTTAGTAAGCATGCTGAATTAAAAGAAAAACATGGATTTGTAGTTCCGTCTAGTCATGCACTGCACTGCACAGCGATTCTTAACTGTGAACGAAATACCGTTTTGCAATTCATTTATGAGACATTCCCGCACACAATTCAGTGCATCAAACAGAAACACATTTTTACTAATCAAAGTAGCTATTTCGTGATGCTAGAGGAAAAAAACCCATTTCATAGAGCCCAATAAAAAAAATAGACAACCAATGAATCATTTGTACTATGCAAATAGAGTGTACCACCTGTTTTTTTCCTAATTGTCTCTTTGAATCACATCAAATTGTCAGCCACATAAATGGAAAACCATGCAAAATACCCCAAAAAAACCTTAATAAATTGAACGTAGATTGTAAGGACAACGAATTGAGTAAAAATTGCAAACAGACAGGCATCGGATGATAACATAGTTTATTTGTTTTATTTAAATAAAGAAACTTTCATAACACTAATCGTAATTATGTCATGAATTATTTTCGCAGTTTATTATCCCGTACATAGTGTGTTTTTGTGACTGATTTAGAATTCACGTTTTGAATGTGACTTAGAATTTTCTGTTGTGGTTTATGGTGCTTTGTGTTAAAAAAAAAAGAGTCTTTTGTTTGGAAATAGACAACCCGTTACTTAAATTCTATCGCAATTGTTTACAATTCTAAGTATGATTGAGCAATGAGCATTGACCTACACATTCTTAGTTTCGTCATCGAAAATCTCGACCACCTTGACTGGACTCAACTTTGACAACAGCACTTTGACTCGTGCAATCGTGATGTTTGGGTTTGTAATTGCTTTTTTGATCGCCGCTTCATTTGTTTCTACCTTTGAAACGGTGATTTCGGGCAAAAGTTTCATGTTGAGAATCGTTGACAACGAGTCATTCGATTGTTTCATCCGGCTATTCCGACGCTGACGATAGGTTCCAATGCTGATTTTGCCTGTACATCGATGTGCAACTGCGCAATTCATCTTTTTCATCGACTGTTGATTTTTGGGAGTCGGGCGCTGAAGGCGGTGAAGTGCGATCTTGACACTTTTGGATGTGCTGGGCGTGTTCTGACGATCTTGAGGTAGTTTCGATTGGGCTGCATCTTTCTGGCCATCAATCGTCTTCGGAATGTTTTCCAAGTTAACCCTGTTGTTTTTCATGTTTGGCCAATGTTTCGTACGAATCGGGATCCGATGCCTTTTAAGCAAGAAATACGCTGTTGATTATCTAATCAATAGATTTTATCTAGATGAATTTCAATCAAAATGATTTTGGCAAAATCTCTTCTTAAATTATAATTTACCTTTTACTTCAATTGGTTTCACTGTAGCTCGAATTCGAATGGTATCGCAATGTGAAGACAAATAAGAATGAACAAAGCCTCTGCAGCAATGAAAGCAAAATAAAAATGTGTCTCAATTTTCGATGTGCCGTTAGAAGTCAACTCGACTCCGAAAATGTGCATGTCGCTGAACAGTGAAGTGATTTCGTTTCCATAACACACTTGCCCTTAGAGTGAAAAGCATGAGTCAGATTCTCGAGAGAAAAAACAACAACGGGACAACAAAAGTGAAATACAATCGATAGCAGATTGATGCTGTTTGTTTGTTTATTTTACTGGACTTTCGTGACAAAAGATGTATTGTTCGGTTCAATCATGTTACTGTTGCAAATTGGCTTGGTGTTTAAGCGTTTTCAGGTGCTTGCGGTATGTTCCGGCGCTGGCCAATTGCTGACGACACACATGGCAGTAGGACGAATTTTGAGCTGGTACTGATACTGGTGCTGGTACTGGTACTGGTGCTGGTGGTAAACTGGGTTGTTGTTGATTGCGTACCGTAGCCTGCGGATTGGCGACCGGTTGATTTTCGACAATTTCATCGCTCATGTTGTCATCTGAAAGTTCGACAACGTCTGGTTCAACTGTCAAATGCTGTGCGTTGTTGCGTGCTTTGGCGACTGGCTTTTTCAATGCCACAAAGAATTGTGGTCGCTTCTTTTGGGCCCCACTGATTACCATTGGAAAAGCATTGTCCAATGTTCCGGTACCATCAGAAAAGCCGTCAGTTTGCATTGCTTCAGTTTGCATTGGTTCGGTTTCATCACCATCATCGAGTTCAGCTATTGCGAATGCCACGCTCGACATCCGAAATTCACCACTTGCATTCACGGAATTTTGCTCGGCTGGTACAGTCACGCCACACAAACTGCTCGGCAGTGAATGTATTGCTTGATTTTGTCGACGGCGCAGATAGTTCTGGATACTGATTTTGCCCATGCGGCGATGAATAGTTGGACGAACCAAATTTGGATTTTCGATCTTTGACACTGTGGGAAAATGATTCACATTTACACTTAACACTTGAATGGGATCAATCGGCTCCTCTTTGATTTCATCAATTTCAACGTCATGTGTTGGTTGTGGTTGTGATTGAGAACGAGATTGAGATTGAGATCGATCAAAGTTGTCAATCAACTCTTGTTTGATCGGGACGTCTGCAATGTTGCTCGTCGAAGTCACCAACTCCTCCAAATTGATCTCGCCGTAATCCATGATTACTCGAAAATGACACTTCACTCGATAAATAATTGAAATACCACTTGACTTCAGATGGTACAATTGAAATGCTACTTGATACAACCGAAATGTTTTCTTTTTTAATTCGATAACAATACGACTGTTCCCGTTGAGTTTTGCTCCGTGAATGACTTCTGTCATAACAGCATTCGGAATAGAAGCCGATTGCATTTTCGCACTACACACACTGTTGAATGTGTAACTCTGCTACAGCATTCTGTTGTGATGAACGGATTGAATTGTATCATTCTTTGGTGCATGATTTTCCAGTAGCCTAAAACATCAATACAAATGAACAAAAACGTCGGCGTCACACAAAAATTAACAATACACACGAACTCTTTGAAAGAGAGTACAAACGATGTCGCTTCCCTCAAACATCAAACAATATCTTCCAATAAATGTATTCAATCGGATGAATTTGATCTGCGACATCACTTCTCGCTTCAAAATCAATTTCTTGCCACTACCAAAGCTGTGCTAACATAAAAACCGTATGATGAATGCGTTTTCATTTTAAACGAAATCAACACTTTTTTCATTGCAGCATTCAAATGCCGCGTAGCTGTCAGAAAATGTCAAGTTTGTTTTTTTTTAAACAGACATCTTTAGTTCAGGGAGTAATGAAATTCAGGGTATCGTCAATTTTCAATCTATAGCTATTGCGAAAAAAACGAAGAAAATGGATAGGGTCGATGAAAATCAGAATGTTGATAAAAGCAGGCAAAAATCGCTGTTAGTAAAGAAATATCTCCACTTCGCAACAACAAGATTTGTCGCCGGTTGTGATCTACCAAATGAATTGTGAGTGGAAAAGAAACACAATTTGATTCTTACAAAGAGAAAATTTTCATTTTTTCAATCAAAATTTCATATTAAAGCCGAAACAAGCAGCGATTCCGATACAGATGCGGCCCGATACAGGTCAATGGTCAAAAAGCAATAAAATGTAAAAGTTCAAATGGCAAAAGTAGCCGTAACAAACCTGCGCACGGTCTTCGTGGTACGTCAAAAGTCTCTCCCCTAATCCATAGAAGAAATCCACAGAACCAATATATATATATATCTCCGACTATCGTTTATCAATTGAATTGTAAGCCAAACAAAATTGCTTATCGATAACATGATTATATTTTTATTGATAACTAATATTCATAACCAAAATTCTTAGCTGAAACTAGCAGCGATTCTGAATCAGATGTACTTCAAGCACAAGGTTGTGAAGTCAAAAGGAAAAATGTGGGAAATCGCGGTCAAAATGCCTGATCAATTATGTGTATGTTATCTGAATTTATCTTAACATGTGTAATAACGAACTTTCCAACAACAACAACAAAAACACATCTCTTAAGTGTCAACGATTGGAAATACTTATACACGACTGAATTAGATAAAAAGAACTGAATAAAAAGTTAAACATAAACGAAATAAAGAGAATCTTAAATATAAGCTCATTGATCACCAGTTCCATTTGTGTTGAGGTTTTGTTGCTGTGCTGCTCGCAAATTCACTTGATGTTTCATGGTTTTTTCATGTTGTCGGAATGTATAGTGAGGATAGTCCTGATTGCAAGCGTCACAATGCACACGAGTGGTATTTTTTTTCTTCTGTGCTGTTTGTTGCCTCTGCTGAAATGCAGCAATGGTCGCATCGAATATGGATCCCAAAGTTGAGCCTATGAGGACCGCAGGTTGCATTTGCTGTGGAGTTTGTTGTGGTGGTACCAGTTGGTGTGTTTGGGTAGTGGCATCATCTTCTTCCTCTGACAATTCAAACACTTCTTCATTTTCTGGTGTTGTTTGGGTCGATACCAAAATGATGTTCGATGTGGACGCCAGAACTGGTTCAATCTTCAGAGATGCTGTGGTCTGCTGCGGCATTCGATTGATGGGTGTTGATGTATTGTCGCTGGATGGACGACTAATAAAATTACTACTAAAATAATTCATGCGTCGATGACGGCGACGGATATTTTCAACGCTTATTTTGCCAGTATTGCGATGAACCACCGGTTTTTCGTCCTTCTGTTGCACTTTATCATCGAAATTCAATTGATTTTCAATAGCAAAACCCAAATTTGTCAGATTTTGATCAGCGTTGTGCAATCCATTGTCAAACGATATCGTCGATGCGCTCCATATCGATGTATTATCGAAACTATCTCGACTGGCACGCGATTCGGCACATACCGATTGATCTGGATCAATATGCATCGACTTTTCCTGTTTTATGGTCACATTGAAAAGATCCAAGGCTGACATCGATTCACGGTTCATGACGAAATTTCGATGAAAAACAAAAATCGTCCAATTTGTTTGGAAAAATGGCAAACTTCTTCTTAATTCGATTGGTTTATCAACGATAAACAAAAACCTTTTTCGAGAACAGTAAATGGCAAATAAACTGTAAATGTCACACTGTTCAAATGTTATTTGAATGCGCGTCAATATGTATTTGAATAAACGCGTTGAAAATCCTTAAGTATTCGGTGGTACAAGAAAAAACGTGTTTAAAAAAATGGCGTTTGGCAAAGGCAAAATCCACAGTACACTCAGATGCGTTGCTGTAATTGTGTTTGTGTTTGTGAATAGTACGGATGATTTGACGTCTCACTTTTTCAACTGAACTGTATATAACAACAGCCGACAAACAGCATAACAGCATTCAGCATAGCCATCGGTCGATGTCGAAAATCCAATCACTCATACACACACATAACAATCATCGATGAGTTGTGTGGCTTTCACGCTACGAAAATTTTCATACCGCTTCCAATTGTTCTCGAATTTGACGGTAAATACGAATTTTGACGGTTAGAATCTCGAACCGTCATTTGGACTTACGCGGTAAATTCATTTCTATTTGTTTACATTCTTATGTTTCTTTATACATTCTCGTTTCATTTTTCATTGCAACGATTTGAATGCCGTTGTCAAATCGTTTGTTTTTTTTCGCATGAACTCGAACCAATTAAAAAATTGATACTTACTATTGACGCAATTAATTCAATTAAAATTGTTGCTTTTTCACAAGTTATCGTGACAATTGAATATTTTGCATCAATTTTCCATATGAGTCATTTTATTTGTGTAACAGAAATTAGCCGATAGAAAAAACTCCAAAGATCTAGATAAAATGAATCGATTGTGCAAACTCATTGCACGACCAAAGCAGACTTTGTGCCGATGAATCTTCTGTATTGTTCATTGATCAAGAGAATTGAGTAGAATTGAATGAGTTATAGAAAGAACATTTGTAAACTCTTTGACTGCGATCTAACGTGCTCAAAGTCACGATAGAAGGTAGCAAAAAAAAAACAACGGTCACAGGTGCAAATAAAAGTTCAATTGGTATATTCCAATGGCTCATGGCTCATTGAGCGTAAATGTCGTCATGGGACCATTGTTATTGGAGTAAATAATTCACCGATGCTTGTTAGAAACACATGTCACATGATGAACGTCAGATCCGTTATCAATTTTCGTATGAAAATTAATCATTCACACCGAGTGCCGTAATTTGGGTTTTCTTCTGAATGAAACATTCTTCTTCGTTTACTCACTTCAATGTGTATTCAATGTTTGCACAATTAATCATTTCTGGCACTAATTCCATGCGCTTGTTATTATCGTCGATTGTTTCGGTGCTCTGGCTTAATCATTTCCATGAAATTGCTATTTTTTTATCTTTACAATTTCGTTCTATGACTATTTGACGAGCGCGCTCGCGCGCTTTCACTGCTTGCCGTACTTTTATCTCAGTGCTCGTTGTGTGATCGCGCTCGCTGTTCCTGCTGGTGTTGCACGCTTAGGTCGATTGCAGATGGGTTTGTTTACATGAGAGTGAGCAAATAGACATTGAATCATGCTAGCGAACGTAGTAGCATTGAATACGGCCGTATGTGACATCACACACTGTTCACAACACACTACACACTATGTAAATAATTTGTGATTTTTCAAGCGACTATATATTTTGCGGTTCGATCGATGCTATCCAGTCGGCAGTGAAACTTGTTACAAGAACGTACTCGTACGGCTTTACTTGCGCAAATCGTTGTTTTCATACACAGTCAATTTTTTTTTTCTTTTTTTTCGACGTCGTTGTTTTTGTAGTTCCAGTTCAATATTTCAAAGCAATTAACGCGACAACGAAACAAACAATAATAATCATATTAAAAGGAATAAACAATAAAGCACTTTAGGTGATGATTTGAGTAACGGATGTTTCAATATATTTACAAACATTCTGAGTGTGGGAATTTTTAATTGCATCAAAATACTTGAGAATAACTTCAATTTACCTGAAAAGGAGAAAATAAAACAACAGTCATTCAGTCGGTGGTAGTGAATAAAACGGTTTTAAAGACTTGCGAGATCGAGAGACGGAGAGAAAGAACGAGTTTTTATTTTTCTTCTTCCTTCATATCGAGAAACAGAGAGAGAGAGAGAAAAGACGTTGTGATCGAAAATTCCTGCTTTTGCAGACAATTAGAGAGTGTATACGCCAGTCGATTTTACGAGGAAAAGAAATTGTGCGCACAGAAGAATATAAATATACAATTGATACGTTCCACACATGGCGAAAGAGTTGTTTTTATCACCTATTCCAAGTAAGAAAGAACTACCAGTTATAAAATGGAGAAAGTGAAACCGTTGCCTACGGTCTTCGTTTAATTGAACGCAAATTATTCTCGAGTGATCTTTTCGCTTAATTGAATGCGATTTGCCATTTTTTCCCCGTCCGCTTCTCATCGATTATCGGTTTGGAATGGAAAAAATGTATGTGGCTAGTGAATGTTGAGTAAAAGTGATGGGCATGTGGTGAACACGTATTAAAAACAATTATTACACGTCTAATTTCCCCTCGAATTATTTTCAATAATATTTGAATATCCACTGTTTGCCTCAATTTCTAGCATTGAGCAGGCATGAAAATTCAAGAGGCTGTTCGTGATTCGAGTTTATTTTTTTTAATCAAATTGCTCTGTAATTCAGATGTTAAATTATTCTAATCTTTTTGATTCAGCATGAGAATCCGTTTCAACAGATTCTTGCACGTTTTACAAAGCCGATCAAGAACACATTGATGTTGTTCTCATGCAACGAATTGCTCACTCCCGAATGGAAATTACGTGTCTTTTTTTCGGGCCCTGATTGCAATCACGTTTTGGCACTGTTTGAGCATCAAGCGCTAGCGATAGCACCTATAATCATACAAATATAATCGTTTTTAATGGTTTTGGAAACTCCACCGCATTTTTGTTAATGTTCATAAAATTCCAAATTCACAACCAAAACAACAACAAAACGAAAGATTCATCGTGTCACATCGACTGTTTCTGTGATAATAATAAATGGTAATTTTATCTCCTGATCTGGTGACGAACATGTTCACCTAATTTTGTCACACCGTCCATTTGATGATAATCGTTATAATGATCGACCCATTGGCTGTATGATCGATCGGCAATCTGATGGCATGCACGCACTCATACGACTTTTTTTTTGAATTAGTATTTATATTTCGATACAAACTAATGAACCAACAATAAAAAAAACACCAGTTATTCGTCGTGTTGACCTTGATGTTGGGTCGGTCCTCCTTATTGAATGCGGTCACACTTGTTACCAATACTAATTATATGCGATGAATGCAGTGTTAATTTTACGGTCAGAAATATAATGAACGACAGAAGAAAGTCATTTACCTGAACACAGAACACGAAGGCGGAATACGATCCCACAGTGTGTGCGTGTATGTATTTGCGTTACATGAATTGCGTAACAAATTTAGCCATCAGATGATGAGTGGAAATACCCAGAAGCAGCTTTTTTTATAAGTCTGGGAATTTAGAAACCAAAAAAAATGATCTAAACGTTCTTTGTGCGAATCTGTGTTCTTTTTTTCCTTCGTCTAACATAAGACGAATTGATGGACAGTTTTTTTTTAAGTTCAAGAACTTGAATCTGTTACACAAGAAAAATAAATTGCAAAAAAAAATTTACCACACCAACATATGAACTAGATAAAAAAAAATTAATTACACGAAATACGTTGCTTTCACCGTTGCGTGCGGTATTATTCCGAATTTTAAAAAATAAAAGAGACAAAAAGCCCAACAACATTGAAACAATAGATGACGCAGTGACGGTGAAACAGGAAATACGAACAGAAATAAAGCGATTTTCATTTCAAATAAATCATTTTGCTCGGTCAGCTTTTAAATGCAAATTCAGTGAAAACCAGTCGTTTGTTTAAAATCACTTATGTGACGCTTCGCACTCATACAAAAACCACAATTAATACGATTATCATAGGAAATGGCTATTCCATTACACAATTCACTTTTGTTCACCGTATATTTTCAATTTGTGCTCGGCTTTACTCAGCTCATGTGTTTAGTTTTTTCCATCCTCTCTTTCAATCGAACAAAAGCATTATTTCCGTTTGTGTTCTCAATTTAGAACGATGGCGGAACAATGAGTGGCGCTGAAAACACTTTTTCCATTAGTTGGTCATGAATTTTTGGTTCGTTGTACAAGAACAACAACAATGAAAAAAAAGAGTGTTTATTATGAATATTATTCCCGGTAGTAATCTCAATTGGACCTAAAAAAATTTATTTTGTTTTCACAGGTAAAACAACATCGATGACAATGAGACTGTTAGTCGCGCTCACCTTGGCGTTGTATTTATTTGGATCGTATGCAGTTGCCGATGACGAATATTTGTCAAACAATACTCTAGCATCAATTGTTCCGCCCATGAGAAATGATTCAGTGACGCAGGAGCACAAACAAAAAGTCGTCGATTCACTGCGACAACTATCGATGGGAAATGAACAATTTTCGTTGGAATTTTTAAAACGACTTTCGGCAGCTGTTAGCAATGTTAATTATGATTTTATCGTGTCACCATTTTCGATTTGGTCACTGCTAGTGTTGACAGCCGATGGTGCCGATGGCGATACATACAGTCAATTGCAACAGGTTCTTCGACTTCCTCAAGACCTCTCGTACCTGCGGATGGCTTACAAACATATACAAAAATCGATGAACGTCAATACGTCAACCGTTGAGGTTGCATTGAATCAAGCATTGTTCAGCGATATAAACCGGCCCGTTGAAAATGAATACGCCTACAAATTAGATCACATTTACGAAGCGGAACATATGCCGGTCGATTTTCACAATCCTGTTAAAACATACGATCAAATCAACAAGTATGTCAGCGAACAAACGCATGGCCGAATCAATAAAATTGTCAACATGGAAGATTTACGAGAGGCACAAATGATTCTTATCTCGGCATTATTTTTCCGAGGACAATGGAAGGTATGTATCATTCATGCGAATTTTAATCTGGTCCAAAAATAAATTTTGATTCGATGTTAATCTAAAACAAACTGTTTGTATTTATGTTATGTGTTTTACTTTTGCAGAGTCCATTCAATGTCAGCCAAACCATCGAAGAGCCATTCTATGATGAGAATGAAAAGTTCCAAGAAAACGTTAACATGATGTTCCAACGGGGCACATTCACATACACGGGCATTAAAGAGTTGGATTCACTTGTTTTGGAATTACCCTACGGTGAACAGGATCAATTGAGCATGATTGTTATGTTACCCAGAAAAGGTGTGCTGCTCACATCTGTCTTGGAAAAACTCTCATCATTTGGTATTTCACGTGTGGTGACGGAATTGCGACGTGCCGAGGCCGAATTTGAAGAAGATCAAGTCGAAGTATTCTTACCACGATTCTCAATCACCGCTGATTTTACTTTGAACGTAATTCTCGAGCAAATGGGTCTCACCGATATTTTCAATGTGAAAAAGGCCAACTTATCCGGAATTTCGAAGCATCCGATCTTTTTGTCGCGCATCATTCACAAAGCAACCATTGATGTGAATGAGGTTGGTACGGTTGCAACAGCAGCGACCGGTGCCATTTTTGCTAATAAAGCAATATCGCCACGTTTCCATGCAAACCGTCCGTTCGCATTTATGATCATCGAAAAGAATACAAACACACTGCTGTTTTGTGGTCAAGTGCGAAAACCGGGTAAAGTCGACTTTAAGCAATTGTAATTTACAATGTGTCAGATTTAGCCGTAAGCTTTTTCTAAATCCAATTAGAATTGGTTCAAATATAATTGACGTTATGATTAAGACGAAGGCTCATTAAGATTAAATTTTAATGCAATCAAATGACATTTTCTCTGTGTAATTATTTAAGCCAGTAGACAATAAATGATGCTTTTTTTTTAAATAAAGAACAAAACAAGCGTAATTTTTTCAGTTTTTTTATGTGTGTATTTTATTGGCAATCTTTGTCTGTTCCTTTACAATAAATTCTTGAGACAGGTTATTCATTGTGACTTTTACTGCCACTCCATTTTTCAGAAGAAACAAAAAAAAATTAGTTTTAATGAACTGAAATAAATTACAAAAGGTGTTTATTTTTATTATTATTGCTGAGAGAGTTTCTCTTCGATGAAAAATAATTCTCATATTCATTTTTGTTTTGGATAATATGATTATACAATTTAATCAGTAATATGAAATGCAATTTGGCGGTTATTTCTTAAATACGCATTCAAATTGATTCGATTTGCCAAATTTTGGTATTACAATCTTGTCCGGTGGAGATGAGAGTTTCGTTGTCTAACCATACCAAACCGGTGATTTGCGATTGAGGATGAGCATTTTTGATGATCGTATGTTTCGATGGGGTTGTCATCGACCAGATAATTATTGCCGTATCCAATGAACCGCTTGCAAGCATTTTCGAATTTGGTGACCATGCAACACAGTTGACACGTGCATTGTGGAAGCCCCATTCAGCCTTATGAGCCGGCTGCAATCGAACAATTAAACATTTAAATCACATTAATGTCATGAACGTGCGCATACGATCGATCAAGTATTTTGAATGACGCATGGAATAATTAGCGTGATATTAGTGAATGATTAGCGTTTAGAATGTATTAATACTATGTACTTACGATCTGTGTTTGTGTTTGTGTACGTGTGTGTTGCGAATATGTGAGTGCAAGAGGAAGTGATTGAGTGAGCGAGTGAGTGCATTGAGAGTTGTGAATGAAAATGTTAACGAGCGTATTATTAAAATGAATAAGTTTAACGATTAGTGTTATGATTGATGACGGTCTTACCTTATACTCTTCGGTGCTGTAGACGATAACTTTGCGGTTTGAATCGCAGGCAGCAAGGAATTTATTATCTGGTGAGTATGCAACATCTGTGATTGCGCCCAAATGATCCAGCTCAGCCTTGACATTCAATTGATCGTCGGTCAAAGTGTAAACATGCACTTTGCTATCATCACCGCCAACGGCCACATCCAACGATTCCGGATTGGCTGCCACACAGCTCGATTCGTATTTGATTGGAAGTGAGAATTTCTTCTTCTTATCTTTCACAACAGTGATGTCGCGTTGGCATGCCAAAACGACGACATTTTGCTCACGAAGCACATCTAAACCTCGGGGTTGACAGTTCAATTTCACAACGGTATCGGTGTAAGTGTTACCTTCGACGCTGATTTCACGCAGTGAATCATCAATTCCGCACGTATAAATGACATCACCTGCTGAGCGAATTCCGTTGATTTGATTACCGTGACCTGTGCCAGCCACACGTTCATTCGTTCCACTGCCCGAGTTCCAGCTGGTAATGGCTCCATCGTGACTGCCTGTGTAAATTGTGCTGCGATCATCGCTCAGTCCCAACACGGTGATCGGTTTGTTGTGACCCTTAACAATTCGCAATGGTTTCTCGGGATTGTTTACATCCAAATAGGTAATGAAACCCGAAAGTGATACAGTGATTAAGTGTTCGCCTTGCCATAAGCACGAAACTTGTTGATCCTCAACTGTGGTGCCTATTATGAATTCTGAGATGAGTTCACGCGTCTCAACATTCCACAAGCGGCATGTCTTATCACCGGAACATGTAAGTAGTTGAGTTCCATCTGGTTTCCATGCAACAGCATAAACACCACCCTTGTGAGCTGGGCTACCCACTTCACCGACTAGTTCGGCCGTAGCACCATCGTACAAATAAACTTTGCCATCAAAACCACCCGAAGCGAGCAAGTGGCCGCTTGGTGAGTAGCGAACAGCTTGTACGAAACGTCCATGGTCTGTTTTGGTCATCTTAAATTTGAATGGTGGACCCTCAAAGATGGCAATCGTATTGTCTTCGCTGCCCGTAGCGATACGGAATGGGCGTACCGGACGGAAATCACATGAATTCAACGGTTTCGATTGACCGCTAATTTCACCGACTGAAGTTCCCGTTTCAGTCATGAATACATGACCAAAACGTTCACGCCCCTCACCAACAATTACCATTCGCTGATTATCAGCCGACCATGCAATATCTTTAATTGGGCCACTAATTGGCTGGAACTCATTCTTCAGAATATGCTCCTTGTTCACTGTGTCCCAAATTCGCACCTTGCCCGATTGATCTGAGAATATAAAATGGCAAAAAAGCGAGAATGAATGAAATTGCTACAAATGAACTGATCTTTTTCTTCTTCTTTCATTTTTACAGCTGATTTCACAGTTCACTTACCACCCGAAGCAATGTAAAAACCGCTCGGTGAATATTTAGCAACATTGACTGCGCACGAGTGCTCCGTGTAGATATCAGCAATAGCCGGATTCTGAGGAATGAAAAAAAAAACAACCGAAACAACAACATATTTATAAACATTACGTGACAACAGACGAACGGCACGCTTGCCAATTTGACTACATCTCAATCTCTCCCCCAAAACAGAAAATATTGCGTATTTTTGTGCCTGTCATATGCATATAATGGCACCTAATTATAATAATAACATGAACTCACTTCGATATTTCGGATTATAACCGAGTTCCCGTTGCAGTAGAGAAAGTTCTTGCCTTTTGGATCGCCGCCCAGCACGATTGGTTGACCGCGCTGTGTACGAGGCAGTGTTGCATAAATATTTTCTAAAAATAAAATTTCAATAAAGAATAAAATTCAAGCGATATGAGAGCGAACAGAAAAAAAAGAACGCAAAGAAAATCATTTTTCCAATAAGTTTTCTACAGTCTTAAGCCTATGGCGGAATGTGGGACGATGTTTTCTTTCCATTTACTTAAACTTCGCTTCATTTTATAAATAAACTCGACGCGATGAATAGAATGTTGTCATGATAGACCGACGGAAAAAGTTCCGTTTCATCAAGTCGAAAGTTTTTCTCTTCTTCTTTTTCTTTCTATATGTATTTTTTTTTATCTCTGTAGACTTTTGGAGACACATATATTTTGATGCACAGCTGTGAAAATGATCTCACATTATTATTTTTTTCTATTCGCATATATATTCATAATTTTACACGTTTTATGATTCGTGCACGAGAAATTCATTATAAATCTTCTTGAAAAATTATTAACATTTCAACTAATTAAGTTCAATGTTATATATATCTTAAGCAAACTAGGTTTTCTGGGCTTTTCCGCTTTGATAACTCAGCTAAACAGCTTGCAATTCAATTGGCAACGCACCATTACTGTCTGTTGTAAATGTTCTGCTGATTCACGTCGTATAGATACATATACACACTATATATAGATAGATAGTAAACAAAATTTAAAATTCACAAAATGCTTCGAATGTGCATTGATGCATGAATGCATCAGCGTCGTCGACGAGGTCGGTTGGATTGAAAGTTCTTATATGAATTTATCACAATTGCATTTTATTTTCTCAATAAATCGTGCAAAAAAGAACAAAACCCATGCCATCGGAATTTTGATAATGTGCATGGAGAAAAAAAAAATCAAAACAATTTACTCAATTATCGACATAACTGATTCGCTATCACCGCAATTGTATGAAATATGAGTCACCGTCATTCGACCGAAATATACAGCACAAAAGGTGATTCGTTCATTATTGAATGAACAAAAAAAATCGCCCGAAAAAAATTACACACAATCATTTTTTTTTATTTTTTGAAAAACAAAACACTTACTCGTTGAGTATGACATGGCTAAATGAAATAGGTTCACTGAATAGATTTTTTTTGTTATGTTCGCGCCGTGCAGATGCTTTGTGTGTTATCGCAAATTTAAAAATGAACTACGAAACAAATCGGAAGAAAAGGAAAATAATACTGCTGAAAATTTGTGTTTATGATATTTTCTACGAGAAGCCGACCGTCGTCTCACAGTCAGTATAGGCTAAAATCAAGTGCCACAAATACACACCCAAACGCGTTTACGCACTTATACACACATACCAGAAAGCGACAAGATATGGTTATTTGAAAGCCGCTAACCAAGTAAATTTTTTCCCATATTTGGCAATTCAAATAAACATTTTGCAGTGAGCGCGTTCAATGCCTTTGTTTTATATGCTTTTCCATCGGGCACTCTCATGTCAACGCGCGTGAATATCGCGTTTCAAACCATTCAATGCAATGAACACACAATTTGACAGAAGCACTTTGACGTCTAGCCAATTAATGAAAACAAAAAAATAAGAAGAATTGATTTGTTTGCTTTTTCCATAGGAAGTTCAATGAAAGATGTTAGCACAACGAGATAATGTTTACCATCGACAAATTCGAGACCCGTTGTACGGACAGTTGGTGATTGGACCACCAGGTAGTGGTAAAACAACCTATTGTCATCGAATAAACGAGTTTTACAAGGAACTGGAGCGAAATGTGGCTGTTGTTAACTTAGACCCGGCAAACGAACAAATGAGCTACAATGCACAAATTGATATCGTAAGTAAAATGGTGAATGAAACGGATGATTGCAAATTTTCTAATGGAATTTCTTTGCAGATGAAGTTGATCACCGTTGCCGATGTTATGGAGCATTTGAAGCTTGGTCCAAATGGAGCTCTGGTCTACTGCATGGAATATTTGGAGGAGAATTTCGACTGGCTACTGAGTCATTTGAAGCAAAGCTCTGCGAATTACTTCATTTTTGACTGTCCAGGTCAAGTGGAGCTCTACACACATCATCAGTCAATGACACGAATTTTCAATCGCCTAAACTCTCTCGGGTATTATTTGTGTACCGTTCAGCTTATCGATTCACATTATTGTTCCGAACCAACTAAATTCATCTCCACTCTGTTACTGTCACTGAATGCGATGCTACAGATGGGATTACCCCACGTGAATGTGCTAAGCAAAGCCGATTTGCTCAAGCAATTTGAATCGAAATTAGCCTTCAATATCGATTTCTACACCGAGGTCCTCGATCTAAAATACCTGCTGGAAGCGTTGGACAATTCACCGGGAATGAAAAAATACAAAAAACTCAATGCGGCCATTGTGTCACTCGTAGAGGATTACAGTTTAGTTAGTTTTCAACCATTAGATGTAAAGCGACGAGATAGTTTATTGCGATTGAAAAATATCATCGACAAGGCGAACGGATACGTTTATGGTGCGGCCGAAGAGAAATCGATCAACGCAATGATGGCCTGTGCAGTCGGTGCCGAAAATGACAATGATAAATTCTCTAAAGATTATGAACCATACATGTAATGCCATATATTTGGTAGAAACAAACGAATCGTTGTAAGCGGATTGTGTTCCAAAAATCATACAGTGTTTATTAATTATTTCATTAAAAATACATTTTATCTATGTTCTATGCAGTTCCTGTTCCTTTGAAGAAAAATAAAACAAAACAAAAAAAAAATCGCTCTTCATGAAGTTAATCGAATGCCTTTTCTGAGTGTTTTTATTTTGCTAATAAAAAAAATTATAATATGGAATTAATTTTTTTAACTCTTTTTTTCTTCTTTTATTTCATTTTAAAATTGATTTTTAAAAGAATGCGAAAGAATAAGCAATCAAAAAAAAACTAGCATCGCCCTGAATCATAATAATGGTTATATGGTTTTGTTTTGAAAAGAAAAAGAAAAAAGAAGTAAGTTTGGCCACATTCATATGTACGAATGTGCGTGCACACCGTTTCAAATGCATTCGAAAAGAGAACAGTTATTCTGTTGTTGTTGTTGTCTTATCAAAAATTACAAATGGTTTTTTTCTCTTTTTTTTCTCTCGAAATTATATGCTTCATTTTTTTTCTTCTTTGCACTGAGATTTGATCTTTAATATGTAATCTATGCCTTAAATTGGATTATATTATTCTATTTTAGATTTTTTTTGTTGTTGTTGCTTTATTCAATTAATGTTTGATTTTTTGGAAATGATCCATGTTTTTGTGTGTGTATATGTATGTGTGTGTGTCTCCAAAATGTTGCCATTCCATTTAAGAAAATCAAATTAATAAATTTAACGTAAACAGCTAAATCGCCTTAATCCACATCCTCTCTTCCTCTTCCTCTCACTGTCTGTTTCTGAAATTGCTGATGTTTGATACATTTTGGTCTCGTTTCCGTTCGTTCATGCTTTTTTTCTTCTTCTTCTTCTTCTTCTTCTCTCTTTCAACACAATCATGTTTGTTATTTTTCTTTCTTTCTTTTTTTTCATTGATTTGCTTATCAGGTTGCAATAATGGTCAGTTTTAATGCGATCCTTTCGATTTTTTCTTTCTTAATTTTCTTTACAATCTCTGATCCTGAAATTTGAATATTGTTGTTGTAAGTTTCGTTTGATAGCCGTCTTTGACTTGATAAAGTGGTGATGATGTGTGTGCGTTGGTATTACAATATATGAAGTGGTTTTCTTTGCTTTTTTTTATGTATGTTAGAATGAAATAATTAAGCATGGAAATGTTTGTTAACAGCGTTGAAGAAGAATGTTTTTGTTTTCAAATTCAAAATAGTGCTTCGACCAAAAGTGTGAGCATTTTTTCGTTTCTTTGAAGTTCATTTGGTTTATAAAACTCATTAAATCATTCGGTGAAATGCAGTACAAGCACTACGCACCAAAGGTGGAAGCACTATTTCTATGTTTTGGTTTCACAACACAACAGAAGAAGGTTTTTTTTTGGGGGAATTTGTTCAACACTTTGACACAATAGACAAATCGGGGTTAGTAGAGTTTAGCTGAATTGAAATAGATTAGCAATTGATTAGTGCTCAATTTCTATTTTCGTGATTTACCGCTCGTAAAGGCATTTTGAAATTTCCAGCCGCTTGCAATTGGATCTGATAGGCTAACGAATGAATCTTGAATCCATACAATCTGTAAAAATGTTTGAATGAGTTGAAGACGATTAGTAATTTTATTATCAATGGCATAACGTTCTTTTCGAACGAATGAGTGAGAGAGATTGAGATAGAGATAAATGTTGAATCACATTTTTGTTTGAATCATATTTTACTCACCTCGGTACAAATTGATTGGTTGGACGCTTGGGACGATATTCAGGATGTACCATGAATAGCATGTGGGGAAAGCCTGTGCCAAAGTATGCGCCATCGGTGTGGTGGTGGCGGGAAGATTTTGGGTTGTAGACATCAATGCATTTTGGACAATAGATTTTAACCATTGCCTCGCCAGGAATATCCGACAAACCTAAACAGATTCAAAGAAGCATTTAATCAAACACACTCAATTTTAGCAGCAGCAAAAGCAGCAAGAAAAATAAATCAACTCACCGATCGGCAACATGAATTGACCTTCGCAGTAGACACGGGAACATTGACCAAATTCGCCACTTTGGTACTTTTCTATCATTTGAGCAATACCACGATTGGTCAAGATGTATCTAGCGTGAATTAAACCATACAGCATTTCAGCGGCTTGCTCCACCAAATCAGACTCATTTGGATTGTTATCCAATTCATCTTCTGCAAAAAGCCAATTGGCAAATTGACATTTAGAACAAATTCAGGGTTTGGACCATCAAAACGATGAATTGTCAGAATGTTAGGTAGTTTTACCTGGTTCAAGATCAAGGATCATGTCAAGAGCTTGCCTATAATTGGGAACTTGTTCGTTCAATCCGGTTAAATTGAACTTGTCTTGGATGTAGTCTTCATCGACCTAGATAAATGTATTGTAATTAAGCCATGGATTAATTCAATTCAAAAATTTTAAATAAATCAATTGAATATTCGGTGTATAGAAGAAATGGAACATTACCTCGCAGAAAAATTCATTGCCACGGAGGCCGCAAAACCATGAGATCCATGACACTTCTTCGGAGCTGCTCATCTTGATCTGTTTGAGTGTGACTTAACCTTCAATTGTATGCGAAAATTCCGTCGATGACTGAAATGAGAACCGAAATCAATATGAAAAATACGTTTCGCACATTTCCATGTGATGATTTAAAAAAAATGTTGAGCGGGTTGCGAAATGTGGTTGGCTTGGTGTGTATGTGAATGTATGTTTTTGCAATGCTTGCAAACTGTGTAGTGCTTGAGCACCTGCATGACTCTTGCGTGCGACAAGTACGACATCGGCGACGACGACGTTCTTATGTTTTGGCAAACAAGATGTATGCACAAACATACCCTATATTCTTTGAAATCACGCCACAAAAATCGATACTAATGCTCATAAAATTGGCAAATTTACATGTATTCCATGCAAACGTCGTTGTTCACTTAGGGTTTCAAGTGCGGATTAGCTGGGAACTCAGTTTGAGTATATGGATCGACTTCAAAGTGTCAGCAGTTTAAATGGAATTCCGAAACAAACTATCCATACGTATTTTCGCACAAGCCAAACTAATCCATTGCTGTACCCACACAAAATTACATCACACCACCGATTTCAGTGAAAAGAATGCGATCGGAATACCGTAATGATGGAAAAATGCAAAAAATATTTATATAAACTTGGATTTTATCGAGTACCTTTGACGTGCACGCTTAATGATTTTATACAAAAGTAAAAAATGGCTGAGTGATGTTTGTGTGCGACGATTAAGAGACTTTTTTTTCTTTCACTTCGTTTCAATTCTGACAGAATGTGTCAATCATTCCGATTAGACAGTTGCAGATGGCGCTACTCGTATATTGCATGTCACAAACGGTTTTGCACAATTATTGACCAAATTTAGAAGATATTTTTGTTTTTCTCATATTTTTTTCTTGCTCTACTTTCATTTGCCACAGTTTGCTTCGATTGTGATTTTTATTTCAATATCCGTTCCTAAAATGAAGCATTCAAAATTATTTCCATCAAAACCATTTGAGTCTGATTTTCATTGGGATTGTAAATGGGCGGTTTTCAGTAAATTGTTTACAGTTTCGTTATTTATTTCGATAAAAACCAAATCATTTCGCTCATGTTTATTATATAAGATAATGAAATCAAATATGTGTGTGTCTGAAAATATGCCGGCAAAAAAATGTGCGCTGAGTGGAGGATACATTGGTAAGGCAACTGATATAAGCAATTTTCTCGTAGCTTTTTTCCCATTAGCTCAAACATGGAAACAGTATTCGTTTAGCCTTCATTTAAATCGGTCACATTCTCGATATTATTCGTCTGATTTGTGTCTCACACTCTTTGTGTTTGAGAGGCCAATTTGAGATTCGATTAAAATTTACATGTTCCACAAAATGTTCAGTAACATTCAATTAGTATTTTTGGCATTTGATCATAGTAATCCGGTCACCCTTTCTCTGTAGCATAACGATATATCCGAAAATTACATACAACGTGTGTCTGTAATTCGATATATTCATATAAATAGTGGAATTGTGAAGCGTTTCGCAAAATAAATTGTGTAAATTACGGTACGGTGCCGTGTGTGTATGCGTTGTAAGGAAGAAACAGCTGAAACATTTAACTGTATAATGTGTGAAAAGGAATATGCGGATGTATAATCCGACGACAAATTCAAATGAGCGTTGGACGCAGCATGAAAGGAGGGATTGGTTCCGCAAATGACACACGAATGTGAATGTATGAGCATCCCTCAGCGATTGCGTTCGCATATTGCACGAAACAACGCAAGCTGCTGCTGCTGCTGCTGTTCGGCAAACAGGATTCGTCGATTGAGGGTCCTTTCCGATGTGTTGTTTTGTAATGTTGAACAGCGGTTGCTATCGCTTCGTGGTCCGCAAATAGACGAAAACGCTGCGCGAGTACTGTGTGTGTTTGCCTGAAACCACCTTTCAACAAAGACAGAAACAGAGTGATTCGATTCATTTTGCGTGATATACAAGACTTTTCATGCACTTCCAACCATGATTTTCTTCAACATAAATTGCTTTTTTGTATTTTCATTCAAAAAAAAAGTATCAAACATTCCATAGTTGCGTCTAAATGAGACGCAGTTTAAAAGTTACCCGCAGAGTGCTTGTGTAAATTTCAAAGTGAGTGCAATCGATTTGTGTAAAAGTTGGTAATAAATTCGTAAATCAAAATTCGCATCCAAGTCGACGACCACTCGAATTATTCATCGGCTGCTTACGGAATGGACAAAAAAAAATCGTTATTTGTCAAATGTCTCAGGACTTCTTTTTGTTTATGTCTGACCAATGATGTTCAACTAACGGGACTATTTTTAGTGGTTTTGGTTTACAGCTTTATTTCGTGAATGCTTCATGATGAACCACCAAAATCTAATCAGAAATGACATTTGTCATATAAGTTTTAGTGCTGTGATTCCAAACTAATTTCGATTCGGCAAAATTAGACTGGAATTCATTCCACGACCGAATGAGAAAAAATCGATTTATTTGTTATCAGTCACGTACAATACATACACCGAAAAAAAAGACACGCTAGATATATATATATATATAGATTTCCATCCAGTTTGTTGTACACGCGATATCATGCGATGTAGTTAAGGGCTCCTGCCATGTCCCCTAATAGACACGCACCGTAATTGCATTGAATCGAACACAAATTCGTTGCGAATTTTTCATGTGTGTCAAGTGTGCTTAAGAGACATTCGAATTTGTTTGACTAAAAATTCTGTCTACATGGCTTTTTTTGCTCTATTTTTTGTGGAACAGTGAGATTAGAATGCGGATGTGGCTCGGAGACAACAGTTGAATCTATCGAACAAACATCTATGGGTTCATATTTCATAGAATGAACGCTATACAACGAATATGACATTCGTCCCTTAATGGATTTTTCAATAGCAAGCAATAATTCGATATATTATTAAAACTTCGGGTAAAAATGGAGTTTCCTCGTGAGATAATAAATCATTTCATTACTATTTCCAACCTTCAACAGCGTGTTAATATTAGAACCAAATGGATTTTCCACGTAATAATTCTTGTTAACTCATTCCTCTCCTCGAAATTCTATAGCTTCAACGCAGCCAAACATTTTAATGTGGTGATTTTGCGTTTGAATTATTGTGTTCGAGATAAATATATGAAAAAAAAATCAAAATATGAAACGTTGTGTCGCATGTGTCGACAAACAAAGAATGTTTACCACAAATTCTTTCATTAAAAATAATGTAAACAAAACGCAAATTTCCTATTCAATAAAATCTTATCAGATGTACAGAACTCTGATAAACCGTAAGATATATTAAATTCTCCGTTCGGTGCTAAAACACCATTGTTTATTAATCGACAAAAAAAGCAACGCACGTTAAGTGGCACACGCCCGTATACTCCGTTGGAAATGGCACTTTTTTGCTTATATACACAGTAAGCCATTTTCGAACGTGCACCAAATTCGGTATAATAATTATTTATTTTAAATTATCTGTTTGAACAGATGTGATCGAATTTAATTATGCCAACTTAATCGGCAGCAAACAAATAAACAAGCATTTGCATGTTGAAAACGATAAAATTAATCTGTTAACTGAGCTCGACTATTACGCGCAGAAGTTTTGTGTGACAAAATATCATAAAAAAAATATTGCATTCGGTGTTTTATAGTCTTTTAAAAGATAACGTTCGCCGCCAATTAGTTGGGAGAAGGTATTAACAACAGTTCAAGTTCACTTGACGTGGATGTACTTGATGATGTACAGGAAATGAGTGAATTTGAAAAAAGAAAAGAAACACATTTTGAAATACTGATACCGAATTAAAAAACGTATCCTGTTTATACTTGAAACCTGATATTTTAAATAGATAAAATAAAACATAAAAACGCCGTACAATCTGCCCATATTTTATCAACGTACTCCCATCATCAGAATAGTGGCGAAAAAAAAATGAAAAACCAAGTAAAACAACATTTTTTTTTCGTTATTAGCACCCAGATTAGAACGAATTAGTTTTTGTTTCTATTTCACACTGTCTGTGTTGTGAGTCGGCACGTCAGCACCACAAACACAAATGCTGCGGTGTTTGAAGTTAGTTTCATAGTGTGATTTCTGCGACAATGAACCAGCTTTGAATAGCGGCCTACAAAATAGTTTAAACAATCACTCGTAACACAAACAGTAGAAGGTTCCTTTTATCAAAGTACTAACGCTCAATTTATGCAAAAAACAAAGAAAGAAAAACCGTGAATCATTCAAGTGATTTTCGGCAATGTGTATGAACTACAAGTGACTATCGATTTGGAGTATAGAAGAAAAAATGAAACAGTCAGTTCAAATAGTGAATATCGTTCAGTTACCGATGTATATTTAGTTTGGTTTTAGTTCCGCCCTGATAAGGATTATTCATTTTATTTTTATTAGCAAACATCAACTAATGACTCAAGTATTTCACCTGTACGCTCACTGAAAGTGTTTGAACAGCAAAGTGATTTCAATGAAAAAAGATATCAGTGTCAAGAATTTCGAATTAAAATTTGCTCAATTAGAAGATAATTCTTTTCGATTCGCGACTCGATGAATTGGAGTTCGCTTTTCATTATCAATATAACAAATCCGGTATTCAATCCACAAAGAGAATATGACATTAATATAACATCTAACTCCATCTAGAACTCTTTCCAGTAGTTGTGTTTTAGTGAGTAATATTACCTAGACTGAAT